GCGGAATCCTATATCCCTTAAAACTTTCGTTGCGAGGGGATCATGATCAATATAAAATGTTAGAACTTGTTTGGCAATTGTTGTAATATAAATCAAGTTTGATTTGAATTTTGATTTGAATGGGATGGACATGGTTTAACACTATATGACCCCCCCTCCCTATATAGGGGAGGTGGGTGGGAGTGGCATAAAAACATAATAGAAAGACAAATTCCATCCACAGAATGGTCTGGTAGAAGAGTTCAATAGTATACCGAGTGCCTAACAGTTAACACAGACATTAAGCTGTCTACGATGCTATACTAGAGATGGAGACCACACGACTGCCTTGACAGTTAACACAGACATTAAGCTGTCTACGATACTATACTAGAGATGGAGAATGGTCTGGTGGAAGAGTTCAATAGTATACCGACTGCCTTAACAGTTAACACAGACATTAAGCTGTCTACAATGCTATACTAGAGATGGAGAATGGTCTGGTGGAAGAGTTCAATAGTATACCGACTGCCTTGACAGTTAACACAGACATTAAGCTGTCTACAATGCTATACTAGAGATGGAGAATGGTCTGGTGGAAGAGTTCAATAGTATACCGACTGCCTTGACAGTTAACACAGACATTAAGCTGTCTACAATGCTATACTAGAGATGGAGAATGGTCTGGTGGAAGAGTTCAATAGTATACCGACTGCCTTGACAGTTAACACAGACATTAAGCTGTCTACAATGCTATACTAGAGATGGAGAATGGTCTGGTGGAAGAGTTCAATAGTATACCGACTGCCTTGACAGTTAACACAGACATTAAGCTGTCTACAATGCTATACTAGAGATGGAGAATGGTCTGGTGGAAGAGTTCAATAGTATACCGACTGCCTTGACAGTTAACACAGACATTAAGCTGTCTACAATGCTATACTAGAGATGGAGAATGGTCTGGTGGAAGAGTTCAATAGTATACCGACTGCCTTGACAGTTAACACAGACATTAAGCTGTCTACGATGCTATACTAGAGATGGAGAATGGTCTGGTGGAAGAGTTCAATAGTATACCGACTGCCTTGACAGTTAACACAGACATTAAGCTGTCTACGATGCTATACTAGAGATGGAGACCACACGTTTCCTTCAGTCAGTAGCACTTGCCATCAACTTGATACAGATCTTACTACTGGTCTATAAATATAAGGAGTCAGCACTTGACATACATTTGACCTAAGCCACTTCCTCTTCAATGAACCACTTATATCATAATATAATCATGTAATACTATATACTGTCTATATACTCAGGAATACCAGCAATGAGGCTCAGGCTGGTTAGCTTGATCTTAAATAAAGGATATATAAATACAAAATTAGCATAACTATACAATTACATGTATATATATATGTAAACATTGTACATGCATATATACATGTATTATTTAACTCATACATCCTTATACATGTATATTCAAACTTGAATTATCCATTCTTTGATTTGATAAGGTTCAAATATGACTTGGGGCTGAATGATGGGTTAAGATATTTAAAATTCTTGGGACTTTTTGTTTGGTAGATAAGGGAGGGAAAGAGGATTAAAGGTTTAAATATAATGTTAACAGTTTATTCTAATAAGTTTCGGTACAATCTGATATTTTTACTATTTTGGAAAGAGCTATGTAGATATATACACATGCTCTATCAATTAATGTACAAGAAACTAACCATGCTTTTTAACAATGTAAGAAGTTTTTAGCAAGAATTTTCTATGAGAAACAGATCAGTATCTCACAATTCCGTGGCTGTTTATAAGAAACAAACAAAGTCACACTCCCTTTTAGTTGATATTTCTGTCTGGGATTTGTTTTTCTCCCACAAATATTAGCAAATAAATGATGAGAAAATGTTGAAGGCATCAAATTATCGGTCAGAAATATGCACCAAGTAGTAAATACCATGTTATCGGTCAGAAATATGTACCAAGTAACAAATACCATGTTATCGGTCAGAAATATGTACCAAGTAAATAGCATGTTATCGGTCAGAAATATGTACCAAGTAACAAATACCATGTTATCGGTCAGAAATATGTACCAAGTAACAAATAGCATGTTATCGGTCAGAAATATGTACCAAGTAAATAGCATGTTATCGGTCAGAAATATGTACCAAGTAAATAGCATGTTATCGGTCAGAAATATGTACCAAGTAAATACCATGTTATTGGTCAGAAATATGTACCAAGTAAATACCATGTTATCAGTCAGAAATATGTACAGGTGTACCAAGTAAATATAGCATGTTATCGGTCAGAAATATGTACCAAGTAAATAGCATGTTAACCGTCAGAAATATGTACCAAGTAAATACCATGTTATCGGTCAGAAATATGTACCATGTAACAAATAGCATGTTAAGACTGTCTGCTTGAGAAGTAGTAAATGTTCTTGAGTTGAGAAAATAAAACCAGGGTTTAATACAGAATCAGAAATTAAGTATTTTTTTCAAAATAGGGGAAATTGGATGACATCTTTAAATTTGGTTCTCCCTATTCATTATCGACACTTCGAATCATAAACATTAAACAAAGCCAGCCTTAAACAGTGTCGTAAAATTAATACCAACAGTGACAACATGAACACAGGGAAAACAGAATAATTCACTTGTTTGCCAAACTGATGGAAAATAAAAACACAATCGAACCATGACAGATATATTCATACGTAGTATTTAAGTTACATGTGGGGGAATTTTTAACTGAAATAGGGGAAAATAATGCCAAAATTGGAGAGGGGAGTTGGCCCATAATTGGCTATAAAAATGGCCTGTATAATATATCCATGAAACTGTAACAACTTAAACAAGATCAGTAGAATATTAGATCTACATGCTTGCCCATATTTAATAGAACAGGTTCAACTGGGATTTGACCTCCTGAAGGGCACTCCTACGCAATTAAGTCCTTGCTGGTCACTCTTGATCACCATTTCCATATCCACTGCAGAGAGCCTGGCCTTACTTTTTTGCCAAAGATAATAGGGAAGATTTGTCAGAGGTAATAATTTATAACAGGGTAACTTGGAAATCTACAACCCTGGCTGCACACTAAGACAGTAACAATCTAATAAACTGAGCTACCCGCTGCATTATGGTCAATTCATGCTGATCACTGCAGTCTCAGGCCCAAGTCTTGGCCCCAAAAGACACCCTTCAGTTTCAGGTATAAAATTGTCGAATAAAATAAAGGTTTACCACAAATACCATGTAGTATAGAGTTGCAGGACTGCACAGTCAGTGCACCAAAACCCCTGCACCAAAACCACAGCACATTCCAATTTCCAGATCATTGCAGTCTGGTCTTCTTTCGAAGTCTTTGCTTGCAATATTTATACTCATCCCTACTAATTGATTACAGACTGAAATTTAAATGCAAGACATATAAAGAGATATAGTGCTGATGGCTAATTACATGTAGGCAGTTGATATTGTCCGTTTCTATTTTCTTTGATCGTTGAATTAATTATTGAAACTAAGTCCTAGGGTAGAGGCAATGCTGAGATGAGTTATAAGTCGCGGATAAGGTTAGTCCCGTTGTGGTGTCCTTTGCTTGGATAACAGAAAGGTACGCAGGGCGATTAGAGAGTAAATTTAAGGTACATCAATCGCAACAAACAAGGGACTGGATTTTTTGTGTTTATTGGTGTACATGTGGTCTACCAGTTTTGCCCGAACATTGGGCTTCATCAGGACCTATATATCAGGACCAATTATTAAAACAATATTTTCTAAATTGCACATTCTTATTGATTTTGTGCTTATTGATTTTTCAGTAGGTACTAATTCATATGATTTAATTAATTTATTTTGTTTTGTTTATTTAGTTTTATAATATAAAATCTGTATTTATTTTTTGTACAGTCTTAATATCAGTTTTGTTTGATGGTAACCGTAAATTATTTTTGATTCTTTTTCCATCTAAAATTGATGAAAATTGGAAGTTCTGGGCAAAACAAGATTTAAGTTTCTTTGCAAACAGTGTTTACCAATATAAGATCATGTCTCCTTCGTGCTTCAACAGGGGGGAAAATGGCGAGGAGGTTATATGGCCTCATTGCGCACGATACTCTTGTATGTTTGACAGACTACAAAAAAGACTGGGTCAGGAAGGAAATCACTGTTAATGTGTATTAAGCAAAACTGCACATTTATGCTTTTTTCTTAATGAGTTTATATTTATAACTTCTTACATTTTCTGGACAAAGTTCTGTTGTTTTTTTAGGTCAGTCGATATGGCCAACTGTCTAAAAATTCCTTGTGGAGTCAAGTATATGTCTTGTAGTAACTTGATAAATGATCAGCATGGAAATATATACATAATATGTCGAAACCTATTCATGACGATACAATATAGCAGAAACCGGTAACACGAGGATATGTCAACTGAAAATATGAAAATGAAAACTCCACAGCTAATCTGGCTGCTGATTTTGATAAAACATCTTGTAGAAGCAAAATTGTTTATTTTTTCTTGAAATACATTTGTACATACACACAAAAGTCTGATCACATCACTGTATATATGGTCTGGATCAATCGCCTGTGACTTGAAAGCCATGTGAAGCATCTGAGTTTTAATTCTTGTTCATTGCATTTCCCACCGACCTCTCCTTCCCCATCTTTTTTTATATCGCATAATACAGATGTATATCCAGTTGATTCATTGTTTTGATCTAAATAAACATTGATTTAATTTATGATATATATAGAAACATAAATTGTCCCCTGTACTAGGCTACTTTGGTATTCAACAATTCCACACATCGCAAGTGAAAAGCACGTGCAATGTGACAGCACCGTCAGCAGATCTAGATTTGCTAGGATTCAGGATGTCAATTTGTAGAAATGTTTGTAAAGAAACAAAATGTAAGTGATAAATTTGCAATTTCTTTTGGTGGATTAAGAATTATGTTATTTTAACTTAAACAATCAAATCTTGCATGTTGATTTACTTACCTTGCCAAGCAGCAAAGAAGAAGATAATCTGCACTTCAACCGGTAAGAAAAGTCGTGAAACCATCCGAAGTACACTAAGAGAGATAACTCGAAATTCCCGGGAATTTTTCCGGAAAAAGAATATACGTTTTTGGTTTTGGTAGTAGCCTTACCCAAAATGGCGGACATGGTAGGGAAGGTAAACAATTTTTAGTATTCATAATGTTGCAATCTATATTCAGCCTAGTACGTGTTAAGATTTATCAGATGGCGTGTGTGATGTATCAGTTATTGTGAAGTTAGTGCTTGAAACGATATATGGATTTTGATAGTGAATGAAACACAAGTAATGCCTCATCTTTGACGAGTAAACGTTGACCACAGGGTCACGTTACAAATGTCTGAAATACACATACATGCTATACTGATATCATATGCCATATGGGTCACAACACACATATATGTGTATTTCAAATATTTGTAACGTGACCCTTTGCGTTGACAGACAGTGACGGAACAACAAGTTGGCACTTTTCAATGGAATGACTGGCCAGAAAAAGTCTTGATAGTAAACGGAAATTACTGACGAGTGACGATTGCTTAGTTTGCCTCGGATATTCAGTATTAGTACAATATTTAACACAGTATTCTATGTACAAATACAAAACACTGGCCAACATAAATAACATGACTGTTATACAATCTTTATATGTAGTTGTTTATTCTTTCAGATAAATATTACATAGAAATATAAACCCATATTCTACAATAAACCCAGCACCAAGATGGGGACTCCAAAGCGTGCACTCGACACCAACAGGGATTTCGTCACACAGTACACATCTGATGACACTGGTAATGTACTGAAAAATACTGGAAATCTATAGAAGTTTCATTGCAGTATTATATTCTTGAATTTTCTTTAAATTGTCTTAACCATTTTTATGTTATACATTGTACAACCTCACTTTATAATACATATACCGGTATATATAAAACAGCTTAAACAAATATAGGGTTGTTATGAGTATGCACAATATATAATAATACAGCAAAGTAATGGAGAACTTTTCTGAGTGCCCACTGTATTATAAATGATTAAGCAAATGTGGGAGTGTGCTGGGTACTAACCAATATACAGACAAAATGAATGCGGGATTCTGGTGGATAAAATAATTTGATAACGTGGATTATTTATTCTAAACCAGTGAAATATAAACCTTTAACTTTAGAAGATGTGATTAAACTATGAACGTAAGTTCTTGTTTTTGTAAAGATTTGCCCGTTTTGCATTTCCAGATCGGATCGTAATGAGAATCACCAATGGTGTACGGAGTAACAAGTACAAGGATGTGAACTACGACAAACTCAGGCTTCTCGCTGCAGAGAAAAAATTCTCGGCTCACAAATCGTTGCTTAAAGTGAAAAAAATTGAACAAATGTCGAAACAAACTAAGGAAAATAATTTAATGAAACAACATAAACTTGTGTGGCAGAAGGAGTTCATTCGATTAAGCAGCCTGAGGAAGCGACTACAGGGCGAGATAGAGCGACATCGCCGGGAACATGTAGGCGAGCCAGGACCATGTTCTAATATGTATCGGGACTTTGAGGACTATGAATCAAAGCTGGATCTTGATTTTGGAACATTTAAAACACAAACAGCAGAACCTATATGGGAGTTAAGGTAAAATTGCCAAAACAAAATGTTAATGTTCTAGTATACGTACTAACCCTTTCACCACTGTAGACCATAATAGACTCATCTAGATGAATGCATGGTAGAGTCTACTAAAGTTACATAGGGGTGAAAGGGCTAAATAAAAGCCATGATTCTAAAGATCTAAATCACAGCCAAAATTGCAAAAGTTACTAGTTAAAGTAGTGCAGACTTCATATAAGAGCATATTCTGATTCTAAATTACAGCTAAAACAGTCAAACTGCATGGAATCTAGAGTGTAAATTTTACCATTATATAGTAAGTTTATCAGGACAGGGGTATTCTAGTTCTAAATTACAGCTGGAAGATATGCATTTATACTAAAAAAACTGTTTTTTAAATATTTGCAACTAGATTTACTGATTCCCTTCAGGAGATAGTGATGAAAAACTCAGATTATAATTTATATGGGACAAATATAATTGTTCTGATATATTTTAGACATGAATTAAGACATGGATTGTTTGACATTGTACTTTGATTGAAAAACAGACAGATTGCATAAGGGAGACCATAAGGATTGTCTTGTGTTGTTAGTGTCTTTGGAACGCTCCTCTACCATGGTTAAATTGAAGTTCTTTGGTATTAAGTGAATGTTTTTATCCTTCTTCAAAATGACAGGGAAGACCTGCAGTTTTGGCTTCATGAAAACATGGCCGACCTAAAGATGGGCTCTCCCGACATAGTACAGAAGCACATGGAGATAAAGGAGACAGTCAAATCAGTCCAGGGTCAACAGAAACAGGTCATGGAAAAGCTCAAGTACGAACAGCAGAGTCTGGAGCATGAGCTCGGTATGGGTAAGTATCTATACCAGGGATAGGTCTAGGGAAACTCTGATACAAACAGTCTGGGTATGGGTAAGTATCTATACCAGGGGTAGGTCTAGGGAGACTCTGATACAGACAGTCTGGGTATGGGTAAGTATTTATATCACAGACAGGTCTAGGGAGACTCTGATACAGACAATCTGGGTATGGGTAAGTATCTATATCACAGATAGGTCTAGGGAGACTCTGATATAAACAGTCTGGGTATGGGTAAGTATCTATACCACAGATAGGTCTAGGGAGACTCTGATACAAACAGTCTGGGTATGAGTAAGTATCTATACCAGGGATAGGTCTAGGGAGACTCTGATACAGACAGCTGGGTATGGGTAAGTATCTATACCACAGACAGGTCTAGGGAGACTCTGATACAGACAGCTGGGTATGAGTAAGTATAGATCTATATCACAGACAGGTCTAGGGAGATTTAGATACAAACAGCAGGTTCTGAAGCTTAATAAATTTGAAGTTTCTTTTCAAATGCTGTTTATATATATGTATAGAACAAAGTTTCAATTTCTGTATCATTATCGTCAATAAGAAGAATACTTGTCATACATTTAGTTCAATTTTGAAGAAAATAATCCAAATGGATTTTTTAAGAAATATGCTTTCATATTACCAGGTATGTTAAAATATATAGCATAAAAGATACATGACTACTTAATTTAAAAACAATACTGCCTACTTGTCAACATGCAAGGCAAGTGACAACAAACATTTATCCAGCCCAATGTTTAATTAAGACACTATAGACATATGAGAAATGTATATTGATTTAGCTAACCCTGGTTTTACAGGAGAGCTTGGAGAAATGGTCCATGAAGAGCAGGATACAAACATTCACATAGAACAGGGGATACCGGAGGCAGCATTTGAACTGGAATGTAAAGATTTTGATCTCAAGGTCAATGTTCTTCAAGAGTTTATCCACATGGATGAGTCGTTCAGGGAGAAATTACACGAACTGGAGGATCAGCATGCTCAGATATTGAGGTTTGTTTTGGTCATTAGAGGAGATCCTCCATAGATGTTAAAGGAGATCCTTCACAGATAGTGAGGTTTGTTTTGGTCATTATATATAATTAGAGGTGATCTTTTACAGATATTGACGGGGGTTTTTATCACTAGAGGAGATCATTCACATATATTGAGGTTTGTTTTGCTCACTAGAGGAGATCATTCACATATATTGAAGTTTGTTTTAGTCACTAGAGGAGATCTTTAACAGCTATTGAGGTTTGTTTTGATCATTAGAGGAAATCTTTCACAGATATTGAGGTTTGTTTTGATCACTAGAGGAGATCTTTCATAGATATTGAGGTTTGTTTTGATCATAGGAGATCATTCACAGATATTGAGGTTTGTTTTGATCACTAGAGATCTTTTACAGATATTGATGTTTGTTTTGATCACTAGAGGAGATCATTCACAGATATTGAGGTTTGTTTTTATCACTAGAGATCATTCACAGATATTGAAGTTTGTTTTGATCACTAGAGGAGATCTTTCATAGATATTGAGGTTTGTTTTGATCATATGAGATCATTCACAGATATTGAGGTTTGTTTTGATCATTAGACAAGATCATTCACAGATGTTGATGTTTGTTTTGATCATAGGAGATCATTCACAGATATTGAAGTTTGTTTTGATCACTAAAGGAGATCTTTCATAGATATTGAGGTTTGTTTTGATCATTAGACAAGATCATTTGATGATGTTGAGGTTTGTTTTGATCATAGGAGATCATTCACAGATATTGAGGTTTTTTATCACTAGAGATCATTCACAGATATTGAAGTTTGTTTTGATCACTAAAGGAGATCTTTCATAGATATTGAGGTTTGTTTTGATCATAGGAGATCATTCACAGATATTGAGGTTTGTTTTGATCACTAGAGATCTTTCACAGATATTGAGGTTTGTTTTGATCACTAGAGGAGATCATTCACAGATATTGATGTTTGTTTTGATCACTAGAAGAAATATTTAACAGATATTGAGGTTTGTTTTGATCATTAGACAAGATCATTCACAGATATTGAGGTTTGTTTTGATCACTAGAGGAGATCCCTAATAACCCTAATAAGGTTCAAGTTAAAGAGGTCAATCTATTGACATTGCAAGGTTAATGATGTTAGTCTATAGAATATCTTAATTAGAAATATTCTATTTTCGCCTATTTTGATCAGTTGATGAGAGCTTATCATTGACTGTTGATTTATACATAATTCTCTATGATATTGAGGTTTGTTTTGATCAGAAGAGGAGAGCTTACCGTTGACTGTTGATTTATACATAATTCACTATGATGTTGAGGTTTGTTTTGATCATAGGAGATCATTCACAGATATTGAAGTTTGTTTTGATCACTAAAGGAGATCTTTCATAGATATTGAGGTTTGTTTTGTTCAGTAGAGGAGAGCTTATTATTGACTGTTGATTTATACATACGTCTCTATGATATTGAGGTCTGTTTTGATCAGTAGAGGATAGCTTACCGTTGACTGTTGATTTATACATACGTCTCTATGATATTGAGGTCTGTTTTGATCAGTAGAGGAGAACTTATCATTGACTGTTGATTCATACATAATTCTCTATGATATTGTGGTTTGTTTTGATCAGTAGAGCAGAGCTTATCCTTGACTGTTGATTTATACATAATTTACTATTATATTGAGTTTTGTTTTGATCAGTAGAGCAGAGCTTATCCTTGACTGTTGATTTATACATAATGCACTATGATATTGAGGTTTGATTTGATCAGTAGAGGAGATCTTACCGTTGACGGTTGATTTATACATAATTCGCTATGATATTGAGGTTTGTCTTGATCAGTAGAGGAGAGCTTCTAATCGACACTTGATTTATACATAATTCACAATGATATTGAGGTTTGTTTTAATCAGTAGAGGAGAGCTTAACATTGGCTGTTGATTTATACATAATTCCCTATGATATTGAGGTTTGTGTTGATCAGTAGAGGAGAGCTTCTAATCGACACTTGATTTATACATAATTCAATAGGAGATCATTCACAGATATTGAAGTTTGTTTTGATCACTAAAGGAGATCTTTCATAGATATTGAGGTTTGTTTTGGTCAGTAGAGGAGAGCTTATTATTGACTGTTGATTTATACATAATGCACTATGATATTGAGGTTTCTTTTGATCAGTAGAGGAGAACTTATCATTGACTGTTGATTCATACATAATTCTCTATGATATTGTGGTTTGTTTTGATCAGTAGAAGAGAGCTTATCATTGACTGGTTAGTTATACATAATTTACTATGATATTGAGGTTTGTTTCGATCAGTAGAGGAGAGCTTGCCATTGGCTGTTGATTTATCCATAATTCACTATGATATTTAGGTTTGTTTTGATCAGTAGAGCAGAGCTTATCCTTGACTGTTGATTTATACATAATGCACTATGATATTGAGGTTTGGTTTGATCAATAGACGAGAGCTTCCCGTTGACTGTTGATTTATGCATAATTCACTATGATATTGGGGTTTGTTTTGATCAGTAGGGGAGAGCTTATCATTGACTGGTTAGTTATACATAATTTACTATGATATTGAGGTTTGGTTTGATCAATAGACGAGAGCTTCCCGTTGACTGTTGATTTATATATAATTCACTATGATATTGGGGTTTGTTTTGATCAGTAGATGAGAGCTTACCGTTGACTGTTGATCTATACATAATTCACTATGATTTTGAGGTTTGTTTTGATCAGAAGAGGAGATCTTACCGTTGACGGTTGATTTATACATAATTCCCTATGATATTGAGGTTTGTCTTGATCAGTAGAGGAGAGCCTACCGTTGACTGTTGATTTTTACATAATTTACTATGATATTGAGGTTTGGTTTGATCAATAGACGAGAGCTTCCCGTTGACTGTTGATTTATGCATAATTCACTATGATATTTAGGTTTGTTTTGATCAGTAGGGGAGAGCTTACCGTTGACTGGTGATTTATACATAATTCACAATGATATTGAGGTTTGTTTCGATCAGTAGAGGAGAGCTTGCCATTGGCTGTTGATTTATTCATAATTCACTATGATATTGTGGTTTGTTTTGATCAGTAGACGAGAGCTTATCATTGACTGTTGGTTTATACATAATTCACTATATATTGAGGTTTGTTTTGAGCAGTTGAGGAGAGCTTACCGTTGACCGTTGATTTATACATAATTCGCTATGATATTGAGGTTTGTCTTGATCAGTAGAGGAGAGCTTGCCATTGGCTGTTGATTTATCCATAATTCACTATGATATTTAGGTTTGTTTTGATCAGTAGGGGAGAGCTTATCATTGACTGTGGATTTATACATAATTCTCTATGATATTGTGGTTTGTTTTGATCAGTAGAAGAGAGCTTACAATTGACTGTTGATTTATACATACGTCTCTATGATATTGAGGTCTGTTTTGATCAGTAGAGGAAAGCTTACCGTTGACTGTTGATTTTTACATAATTCACTATGATAAGATATTGAGGTTTGTTTTGAGCAGTTGAGGAGAGCTTACCGTTGACTGGTGATTTATACATAATTCACCATGATATTGAGGTTTGTTTCGATCAGTAGAGGAGAGCTTGCCGTTGACTGTTGATTTATGCATAATTCACTATGATATTTAGGTTTGTTTTGATCAGTAGACGAGAGCTTATCATTGACTGGTTAGTTATACATAATTTACTATGATATTGAGGTTTGATTTGATCAGTAGAGGAGATCTTACCGTTGACGGTTGATTTATACATAATTCACGATTTTATTGAGGTTTGTTTTGATCCGTAGAGGAGAGCTTACCGTTTGCTGTTGATTTATACATAATCCACTATGATATTGAGGTTTCTTTTGATCAGTAGAGGAGAACTTATCATTGACTGTTGATTCATACATAATTCTCTATGATATAGAGGTTTGTTTAGATCAGTAGAGGAGAGCTTTCCGTTGACTGTTGATTTATGCATAATTCACTATGATATTTAGGTTTGTTTTGATCAGTAGGGGAGAGCTTACCGTTGACTGGTGATTTATACATAATTCACAATGATATTGAGGTTTGTTTAGATCAGTAGAGGAGAGCTTGCCGTTGACTGTTGATTTATGCATAATTCACTATGATATTGTGGTTTGTTTTGATCAGTAGGGGAGAGCTTACCGTTGACTGTTGATCTATACATAATTCACTATGATTTTGAGGTTTGTTTTGATCATTAGACAAGATCATTCACAGATATTGAAGTTTGTTTTGATCACTAAAGGAGATCTTTCATAGATATTGAGGTTTGTTTTGGTCAGTAGAGGAGAGCTTATCATTGTCTGTTGATTTATACATAATTTACTATTATATTGAGTTTTGTTTTGATCAGTAGAGTTTTGATCATTAGACAAGATCATTCACAGATGTTGAGGTTTGTTTTGATCAGAAGAGGAGAGCTTTCCGTTGACTGTTGATTTATACATAATTCACTATGATATTGAGGTTTGTTTAGATTAGTAGAGGAGAGCTTATCATTGACTGTTGATTTATACATAATTCTCTATGATATTGAGGTTTGTTTAGATCAGTAGAGGAGAGCTTACCATTGACTGTTGATTTATACATAATTCACTATGATATTGAGGTTTGTTTTGATCAGTAGAGGACAGCTTACAATTGGCTGTTGATTTATACATAATTCACTATGATATTTAAAACCCTTAAAAGATTGACGTAACATAATATACCATATAATTCAAGTTCATTATTTTGTTCTCAGTTTTACTTAAATTTATGTTATGTAAATCTCAGATTAGTAGAAAAGAGTTTACCTAAATTCTAAAGTATCAGTACAATGTATTTTTATTGATGTGTTGATATTATATCTCTCAGTACTGAATGCTGTTCCGATGTTTCAGGTCCGGTAAACATGGAGGCTGGTCAGAGGAGGACCATTTTATGTTCTGTGTAGTCTATGAACAGTACCCTCATGAAATGGCCAACAGGCGTAAGCACATTATCGACCGGTTACGGAGGCATTTCCCTAAAATGTCACGTGCCCATATGGTAAGGATTTTGGACTTTAAAGTGAGGTTACTGGTACAGAACGATGTTGTTGTGATTCCATGTGTGGCCTTGGTTGTCCAGGCTATTAACCTATACATCATAATTACCTGTCCATGTTGTTGCTATATAATATTATAATTTTTTCCCCTCCCTGTTGTTAATTTGTACAATATGTGTTCCCCTGGTTACCTGTCCATGTTGTTACTTTGTACAATATGAGTTGCCCAGGTTCCCTGTCCATGTTGTTACTTTGTACAGTATGAGTTGCCCAGGTTTCCTGTCCATGTTGTTACTTTGTACTATATGAGTTGCCCAGGTTACCTCTCCATGTTGTTACTTTGTATAATATGAGTTGCCCAGGTTGCCTGTCCATGTTGTTTCTTTGTACAGTATGAGTTGCCAAGGTTACCTGTCCATGTTGTTACTTTGTACAATATGTGTTGCCCAGGTTACCTGTCCTTGTTGTTACTTTGTACAATATGTGTTCCCCAGGTTACCTGTTCATGTTGTTACTTTGTACAATATGAGTTGCCCAGGTTACCTGTCCATTTTGTTACTTTGTACAATATGTGTTGCCCAGGTTACCTGTTCATGTTGTTACTTTGTACAATATGAGTTGTCCAGGTTACCTGTCCATGTTGTTACTTTGTACAATATGTGGTGCCCAGGTTCCCTGTCCATGTTGTTACTTTGTACAATATGTGTTCCCCAGGGTACCTGTCCATGTTGTTACTTTGTACAATATGTATTCCCCAGGTTACCTGTCCATGTTGTTACTTTGTACAATATGTGGTGCCCAGGTTCCCTGTCCATGTTGTTACTTTGTACAATATGTGTTCCCCAGGGTACCTGTCCATGTTGTTACTTTGTACAATATGTGGTGCCCAGGTTCCCTGTCCATGTTGTTACTTTGTACAATATGTGTTCCCCAGGGTACCTGTCCATGTTGTTACTTTGTACAATATGTATTCCCCAGGTTATCTGTCCATGTTGTTACTTTGTACAATATGAGTTGTCCAGGTTACCTGTCCATGTTGTTACTTTGTACAGTATGAGTTGCCCAGGTTACCTGTCCATGTTGTTACTTTGTACAATATGTGTTGCCCAGGTTACCTGTTTATGTTGTTACTTTGTACAATATGTATTCCCCAGGTTACCTGTCCATGTTGTTACTTTGTACAATATGAGTTGCCCAGGTTACCTGTCCATGTTGTTACTTTGTACAATATGTGTTCCCCAGGTTACCTGTTTATGTTATTACTTTGTACAATATGTGTTGCCTAGGTTACCTGTCCTTGTTGTTGCTATATTTCTATTTGTTGCTCAGGTTTCCTGTACTTGCTATTTTATCATTGGTTGCCAAGGTAATATGACTACGTATACGTTGTCAATATGTCCTCATTTGTTGCCCAGGTTACCTGTCCTTGTTGTAACTTTATCATCATTTGTTGCCCAGGTTAATTACCTGTCCATGTTGTAACTTTATCATCATTTGTTGCCCAGGTTACCTGTCCATGTTGTTACTGTGTCATAATTCGTGCCCAGATTACCTGTCCATGTTGTCACTTTATCATCATATGTTGCCCAGGTTACCTTTCCATGTTGTCACTTTATCATCATATGTTGCCCAGGTTATGCATGAGGAGTGGTGTGAGAGCAACAAGTACTTCCGGATGAGAAAACAGGTGTTGATGGCAGCCTGGCAGAAGGCCAGAGATGAGCTTCTATACAAGGCAAAGTCTGTCTTTATGGAGGCTGACATTGCAGCCGAACTGGAGGAGGTCAAGATAGAATACCTTCGCAAACAAAAACAAGTGAAGCAGGCATTATTTGAAAAGGTCAGATCTAGAGGTCATCATGATTTTGTGGTAATGCTTTTTGTATCAAAGTGTTTGTTCACAAAAGGATGTATCCTGCATGAGTTTCAAATTGGTAATATTTAAATTTTCATTAATTTTGAAATGCTTACCAGTTTTAATAATGGTTAATGTTATAAAATATAGTATAGTTTAGTCTAATGCAGTTTTAAACTTACCGCTATTTATTTATTTTTTCATTAAGTTTGAAATGCTTGTAAATAATGGTTTATGACTAACAGTTACATCAGTGGCGATGTCAGAAGATGGAAGCAATGCTCATCCAACAGAACATGCTTGAACGGCAACAAGAAGAACTGAGTATGTACAACAAGATGGAGGCAGAGCGGGAGAGGAAGCGGAGAACCGTCGAAAAGGACAAAGTAGGGTGTATACAATATAAAGGGACAAAGTAGGGTTTATACAATACAAAATGACAAATAGGGTTCTGTACCATACAACAGGACAAAGTAGGGTTTATACAATATAAAAGGACAAAGTAGGGATTATACAATATAAAAGGACAAAGTAGGGTTTATACAATATAAAGGGACAAAGTAGGGTTTATACAATACAAAATGACAAATGGGGTTCTGTACAATATAACAGGACAAAGAAGGGTTCTGTACTATACAAAATGACAAAGTACAGGTTTATACAATACAAAAGGACAAAGTAGGGTTGATACAATACAAAATGACAAAGAAGGGTTTATGCAATGTAAAATGACAAAGTAGGATTCTGTACCCTACAAAAGGACAAAGTAGGCTTCTTTACCATACAAAATGACATAGTAGGGTTCTGTACCCTACAGAAGGACAAAGAAGGGTTCTGTACCATATATGAGGACAAAGAAGGGTTCTGTACCATACAAAATGACATAGTAGGGTTCTGTACCATACAGAAGGACAAAGAAGGATTATTTACCATACAGAATGACAAAGTAGGGTTTTGTACCATACAGAAGGACAAAGTAGGGTTATGTACCATACAAAAGGACAAAGTAGGGTTCTGTACCATACAGAATGACAAAGAAGGGTTCTGTACCATACAGAATGACAAAGAAGGGTTCTGTACCATACAGAATGACAAAGAAGGGTTCTGTACCATACAGAAGAATAAAGAAGGGTTCTTTACCATACAGAACGACAAAGAATGGTTCTGTATCATACAGAAGGACAAAGAAGGGTTATTTACGATACAAAATGACATAGTAGGGTTCTGTACCATACATAATAACGAAGAAGGGTTTTGTACCTTACAAAAGGACAAAGTAGGGTTCTGTACCACACAAAAGGACAAAGTAGAGTTATGTACCATACAGAATGACAAAGTAGAGTTCTGTACCATACAGAAGGACAAAGTAGGGTTATGTACCATACAAAATAACATAGTACGGTTCTGTACCATACAAAAGGACAAAGAAGGGTTTTGTACCATTCAAAAGGACAAAGTAGGGTTCTGTACCATACAAAGGGACAAAGAAGGATTCTGTACCATACAAAGGGACAAAGAAGGGTTCTGTACCATTCAAAAGGACAAAGTAGGGTTCTGTACCATACAAAGGGACAAAGAAGGGTTCTGTACCATATAAAAGGGAAAAAGAAGGGTTTTGTACCATACAGAAGGACAAAACATGGTTCTGTACCATACAAAAGGACAAAGTAGGGTTATGTACCATACAGAATGACATAGTAGGGTTCTGTACCATACAAAAGGACTAAGTAGGGTTCTGTACCATACAAATTGACAAAGTAGGGTTATGTTCCATAGATAATGACAAAGTAGGGTTCTGTACCATACAAAAGGACAAAGTAGGGTTCTGTACCATACAAAAGGACAAAGTAGGGTTCTGTACCATACAAAAGGACAAAGTAGGGTTCTGTACCATACAAAAGGACAAAGTAGGGTTCTGTAAACATACAAAATGACAAAGTAGGGTTCTGTACCATACACAATTAGTTTAAATGACTGGGTACTTAGTGAAGCAAATGTTATTGTTTCCCTACAACAAGGGAGACAAATGTACATTGTGCCTTGAAATGAAATTCAAAAACGACTTGAGCATAATAAACATGAACTGCTATTTTCCCTTTATGTCAGTCATGTAGTTCGTAAAACTAAAAGCAGATTTATGATTAAGTCGGGATTCTTCTCTTCAGATAACCAACTTCCATGAAGAACAGATGCAGCTCCGTAAGAGACAAGAGGAGGGTGATCAGCGTCGGTTAGAGGAGATACAGAGAAACATGGCGGAACAGGCTAAATTTGACTTTGAAAGGTACAATAATCTTACCTTATTTGTTAAATGTCATATATTAGATACCTTCTTATATCAAGTCATAGCTGTCAGAGATCATGTTTTCTGAATTCAGTGTGGATTTTTTTTTCAAAATACACATGGTACCTGCTGGTATTTTTCCATACCACTGTCTTATTTGCTTAAAATGGTTACAAATTCCAAACTTCCAATAAAGAGAGTAATTGGCTTCCCATTTGTTACCACTTAAATGTATTTATCTGTCTATGAAAACAAGTTATTTAAAAGTTCCCATTTATTCATAAACCATGATATGCTAACATATATATATCTAAAAGGCAACGGTCTTTTGATTGAGGTTGTCATACAAATGTAGATATTTGGGGTTTGCCATCCATATGACAGTCTCACAGCTTAAGTGGAAGTTTGTTTAAGGACCTTTACACTCAGCTTGAAATGAGAGTTTACTGACTTTTACTCAAATGTCATCAGATGGCAGCAGCAGCAGCAAAGAGGGCCTCTAGTTAAAGTGTGATTTTTTATTCTAGAAAAAGATCAGATATTGATTGAGTTGTAGAGGGGAGATAGTTTATTTGATAGTTTATTTGATGTTTATCCTGAAGGTAGTAACTGACCTGTTTCTTTAATTTCACTTTCAAACCATCACCAATCCATGTGGTAGATAGAGATGTTTGACCAATCATATCAAATGGCTGAATATTGCCCTATATAAGGGATTATATAATCACTCAGACCGACTGTACCTTAATTTAATTCTTAAATCAGGACTTAGAGTTTGTTTGTATCATGTAGGATCCAGTATAGAGAAGAACAAATTCAGAGAAAAATTGAGGAGAGGAAGAGGATGGAGGAGGATAAAGAAGAAGAAGACAGACAGAGAGAAGAACGATTAGAAACACTTAGACTACAGGTATTATTTTCACAATCATAAAAAATACAATCAGTTATTGCTGTCTTAACGATGTGTGTATTAAACACACCAGTCCTATAACTGTTTTGATTTTGAGTACAGAACTCTATTTTTATGTCCACCAGGTGCGAGTGATAGCGGAGAGTGACCCAGAACGTATGATGAAGAACACACAGGTAAGCTAGTTAACAGCTGTTCTCTGTAACCCATCCACCCCTAAAGTCACATTTGAACCTTACCCAATCATAGACTGGGCAAGTCCAGTTTTTATATGTAGGGGTGAATGAGTTAAACCTGTATATTTTGTTTGATATTCCAGGGTCTGAGCAATATGTGTAACTTTTGTTTGTAAAGGCCTCAAAGCGGTTACTTCACCCATTGCCATGTGTAGTCAGTATAATAGAGTGGTTTCCATTGCCATGTGTAGTCAGTATAATAGACTTGTTTCCAGACAAATTTCCTGAAGGAATTATCGGATCCTGATGAAACTTGCCTGGCCCACTTGTTGTCCATACTCAACTTTGATGATCTATTCAATTCATCATATTTAATGAGGTTGCTGCAAACTGATTGGCTGATAGTTTCCGGATGATTTTTTTTTAATCTATGAAACTTCCCTAGTACATGTATGCACTTATTACCAAAGTTCATTGCACAGCCCAACTTGCAAATATTTGAATAAGATGCTGCTATTTTTCTGCAAATGTATTTAGTTCTTTCATCATGGGTAAACTACAGTTGGTGATCAGTCCACCTTGGCTTGTTCAGGCATCACTTCCTTTAAATTCTTTTGTATAAACATGTGCCATTGTGCCATACTGTTTTTGTGTATATATACAAACATTTGATCTTGCTGCACTCGGAACAACTTATCAAACAACATTGCCATTTAAATCTTAGATAACCTTACTTTCTTTAACTAATGATTGATGCCTGGAATAGTCTCCAAAAAGCTGTTATTTCTTCTCGTACTCTATTTGATTTTAAGAAAAACATGGATGAATTAATTCTTGAAAGATTTTAAGTTAACTAGGATCATACTGTGATACAACTTTTTATAAATAGACTAAATATAATGTTTACCACAATGTATTTCACATTATGATAATGTGGATATAGAGACGTCAGTCTCTGTGTCCACTCATACCCTATTAAATCTGTGGACTAGCGCCCACTACTGTAATAGTATTCATGTCCAGATCGTTTCCTTGGAAACTTGAGTTTAAGGTTACACTGTACTTTGTACATGTTTGTGAATTTGAAATTGTCACAGTTGGTATAATATGTCTGGACAGTCAGATTGATGTTTAGTTGTGTTTGTTTAGGTCTGGACAGTCAGATTACTGATTGGTTGTGTATGTTTAGGACTGGACAGTCAGATTTATGTTTAGTTGTGTATTATTAGGACTGGACAATCAGATTAATGTTTGGTTGTGTATGTTTAGGTCTGGACAGTCACATCGATGTTTAGTTGTGTATTATTAGGACTGGACAATCAGATTAATGTTTGGTTTTGGATGTTTAGGCCTGGACAGTAAGATTAATGTATAGTTGTGTATGTTTAGGCCACGACAGTCAGATTAATGGTTAGTTGTGTATGTTTAAACCTGGACAGTCAGATTTATGTTTAGTTGTGTACGTTTAGGCCTGGACATTCAGATTAATGTTTATTTGTATATTTTTAGGCCTGGACCGTCAGATTAATGTTTCGTTGTGTATGTTTAGTCCTGGACAGTCAGATTACTGATTGGTTGTGTATGTTTAGTCCTGGACAGTCAGATAAATGTTTAGTTGTGTTTGTTTAGGTCTGGACAGTCAGAGTAATGTTTAGTTGTGTATTTTTAGGCCTGGACAATCAGATTAATGTTTGGTTTTGGATGTTTAGGCCTGGACGCTCAGATTAATGTTTATTTGTATATTTTTAGGCCTGGACAATCAGATTAATGTTTATTTGTATATTTTTAGGCCTGGACCGTCAGATTAATGTTTGGTTGTGTATGTTTAGTCCTGGACAGTCAGATAAATGTTTAGTTGTGTATTTTTAGGCCTGGACAATCAGATTAATGTTTGGTTGTGTATGTTTAGGCCTTGACAGTCAGATTGATGTTTAATTGTGTATTTTTAGGCCTGGACCGTCAGATTAATGTTTGGTTTTGGATGTTTAGGCCTGGACATTCAGATTAATGTTTATTTGTATATTTTTAGGCCTGGACAATCAGATTAATGTTTAATGTTTAGTTGTGTACGTTTAGGCCTGGACAGTGAGATTAATGTTTAGTTCTGTATGTTTAGGCCTAGACAGTCAGATTAATTTTTAGTTGTGTATTTTTAGGCCTGGACAGTCAGTTTAATGTTTAGTTGTTTATGTTTAGGCCTTCACAGTCAGATTAATGTTTTGTTGTGTATGTTTAGGCCTGGACAGTCAGATTAATGTTTAGTTGTGTATTATTAGGCCTGGACAATCAGATTAATGTTTAGTTGTGTATGTTTAGGCCTGGACAGTCAGATGGTGTTTAGTTGTGTATGTTTATGCCTGGACAGTCAGATTAATGTATAGTTGTGTATTTTTAGGGCTGGACAGTCAGATTAATGTATAGTTGTGTATGTTTAGGCCTGGACAGTCAGATTAATGTTTAGTTGTGTATGTTTAGGCCACGACAGTCAGATTAATGTTTAGTTGTGTATGTTTAGGCCTAGACAGTCAGATTAATGTTTAGTTGTGTATGTTTAGGCCTGGACAGTCAGATTAATGTTTAGTTGTATATTTTTAGGCCTGGACAGTCAGATTAATGTATAGTTGTGTATGTTTAGGTCTGGACAGTCAGATTAATGTTTAGTTGTGTATGTTTAGGCCTGGGACGCTCGTCTGAATGGGGAAGTAGAAGAGGAAGTCAACATCAATAAACCATTGTTTGAGGTCAATTCCTTCACATCACAACAGGTCAGTTCACTAACGTTCATATCTGTAATTTGTCTTAAGGATGTATGCTATATGTTACACATTCAACTTTTGGTTAATATGAGAGTGATCTCCCTTTATATTTTTAAAAGCATTATATGTAATATTTCAGTATTACCAGAGAGTTATCAATGCTTCATGCTTTTTATTCATAAACAGACTTTTTTTAAGAAATTGAAAAATAGAATGATATACTGTCAGTTATGTCGAACTGCAAGGATGGATGTAGATTTATTTTTGATTGTTCAGATTATAAAAAACATCTAATACCGGTTATCTAACAAGGGAGCTAACTCTCAGTAAATCTCCCAATAGACTGTATGAAAACGATCAAGAATTACTAAAAAGCGGGAGTTTGATTTTACAGTATCATTTTTTTGTTTATATGGAAATGTAAACATTGTATAACAAGAAGTTTTTGCCAAGTCTAATTTTCACCCTTCAACGGTAAAATTAAATTTCGCCAAATTTGAAATAGACTTGACATTGAATCACTAATATGTAGATTATGTTGTTTATTGACTTCACATTAATCACTGATATGTAGATATGTTGTTTATTGACTTCACATTGAATCACCGATATGTAGATTATGTTGTTTATTGACTTCACATTGAATCACTAATATGTAGATTATGTTGTTTATTGACTTCACATTGAATCACCAATATGTAGATTATGTTGTTTACAAATATTCGCTATGGTGAAAACTTCACCCTCATTTAATACAGAGGGTGAAAAAAGTGAAAATTAAACTACAGTAGAAATTTCCTGGTATACAGTATATGTATAAATGTATATGTACCTACAGTATTATATTTGTGATGTTGAGAATGCTCTCAATGTCAACATAGCTCGTTAAGTGTGTTACTTGATTAGCAACATTTCCTTGAAAAGGAAACATATTGCGTGTATTTTTGATGGTCATTCAAAAAATTCCTTACTTACTTTCAATCTCTGCTGCATAGGTGACCTCTGACCCTCGGCTGAAACTGGAAACGAGGCTGCGGGAGGCTGGATTACACAACTCAGACTATGCTAGACACATCATGTCTAATGTTAAACCATTAAACCCACCACGGAGGGACATGGAATCTACACTCTTCAAAAATGACTAACATATCTCAGAATGTTACTGTGTTCAGGCTAACTACAGTAATATGTGATTCAATTTTGTTTGCCACTCAAGGGACTTAAAGTCGTAACTGTTTTTAAAACTGACCTAAACTTCTCACCATTTTCTTATGGCCTCTCAAATAAAATTGCAAGAACAGTGTTAAAAACATGTCGAAGAATTTGTAACCCCTTAAGGGGCAGATCTTTGTAATAAAAGTAAAGTCTAAGAATATTGTGAAGGAAAATTCCTTACTTTTAATCTAATCTTAATGTGAACTATTTCACTTTTTATACACTGCGCAAATTAAATTTGGGGGGGGGGGGGGGCTTATATAGAAATCACTGTCCGTCCGTCTATCCGTGATCCTCATAAGCAAACTCTTCCTTAACCGTGTGATGGATTTTTCTGTAATTTTACACAGTGAAAATACATTCTACATGTGCATGGAGAAAGGATTTGGCATTTGACTAGTTTTACTTTGAGCTATAGCCGTTTTAGTCTTTCTGCGCCAGAAACCTTGCAAGCGCAACTCCTCCTTAACAGTTTGTTGGAATATTTGGTAGCTTGGTGCAGTAAAAGCCATCATATGTTAATGTGAATAAATAAAGAAATTTGTGATTTGACTATTTACCTGGAGTTATGATCCTTGAAACTTTAAATTCTTCTCCAGAAATATGGTAAGCACAAGTTGGGGATGGAGTTATGGCCCTCGAAACTTTACATTCTGCTCCAGAAATATGGTAAGCACAAGTTGGGGGTGGCGTTATGGCCCTTGAAACTTTAAAGTCTGATCCAGAAACATGGTAAGCACAAGTTGGGTATGGAGTTATGGCCCTTGAAACTTTACATACTGCTCCAGAAATATGGTAAGCACTAGTTGGGGGTGGAGTTATGGCCCTTGGAACTTTAAATTCTGCTCCAGAAAGATGGTAAGCACAAGTTGGGGGTGGCGTTATGGCCCTTGAAACTTTAAATTCGGCTCCAGAAACATGGTAAGCACAAGTTGGGGGGGGAGTTATGGCCATTGAAACTTTAAATTCTGCTCCAGAAAGATGGTAAGCACAAGTTGGGGGTGGAGTTATGGGCCTTGAAACGTTAAATACTGCTCCAGAAATATGGTAAGCACTAGTTGGGGGTGGAGTTATGGCCCTTGATACTTTAAATTCTGCTCCAGAAATATGGTAAGCACTAGTTGGGGGTGGAGTTATGGCCCTTGGAACTTTAAATTCTGCTCCAGAAATATGGTAAGCACAAGTTGGGGATGGAGTTATGGCCATTGAAACTTTAAATTCTGCTCCAGAAAGATGGTAAGCACAAGTTGGGGGTGGAGTTATGGCCCTTGGAACTTTAAATTCTGCTCCAGAAACATGGTAAGCAAAAGTTGGGGGTGGAGTTATGGCCCTTGGAACTTTAAATTCTGCTCCAGAAATATGGTAAGCACAAGCTGGGGATGGAGTTATGGCCCTTGAAACTTTACATACTGCTCCAGAAATATGGTAAGCACAAGCTGGGGATGGAGTTATGGCCCTTGAAACTTTAAATTCGGCTCCAGAAACATGGTAAGCACAAGTTGGGTATGGAGTTATGGCCCTTGAAACTTTAAATTCTGCTCCAGAAACATGGTAAGCACAAGTTGGGTATGTATTTTTGTGAGCTTACTTACAGTTACTCTCGTTACTTTTGTAGCTTGAAATATGGAATTGTCTGTAAAATTTTAACCTTTACAGTAGAAACACATCTTAGTATTATTTAGGTTACTGTACATGTATATATATATATATATACTGTATAGTGCTGAATCAGTCAGGCTGGTGCTCCTATTACCGTAACATGGACCTAGTAACATTGTCAGATTTGACATCTGATTATATTGTCTTCAGGAAGGCTAGACAAGGATTTAAGTGGCATAATTATCTTTCATCTGTAAATTTTGTTACATGTGAAGTGAGCTATTGTTTTCCAATTCGTGCCATGTCTAAACTGAACACTTGTAAATAAACATGGTATGCTTAAATTGATGAAGTTACTTTCTTGAAATCTGCATTTATCACATAATCAGCCTGTTATCCAGTGAATTTGCCCGTGTCATATTGTTACATTATAATGTCACTTGTGTAATATAATATACCCTGGAGCGTTTTTCATTGGCTGTACCAGTCAGAAATCGATTGTGACATCATAATATGGAAAATGACGTGACGTCATAAATTGTGAATGGCGCAACAAAATGTCTGTCTCTTTGATTAAGCCCTCTACATTTTGGCTTTAAAGCCTGTCGAAAGTTTTCCCAGTTATGTGATAAAAAATATCTCAAATTTGTTTTCATTTCATATGAGCTTTTATGAAACTCGTCTCAATGTTTTAATTTTTGCTCGCCAAGGCTCGCAAACATATAAACTCCTAAGACTTGTTTCATAAAATCTCATATGAAATGAAAACTCATTTTAGATCCTATATATACCAGACTTTAGCTTTCAAGTTGCCCCTGTCATTTTTTATATGCTTTATGAAAGTAAAACTTGGTCCCATAATTTGTTGGACTGAAAGGTTTTGATATTTAAAAATATCAACCCATTAAACTTTAACATTCCAGCAATTTTTTGCTTCTTGCCATTGTCCACAATTTAACGGGTGTATGTGTGTATCACTGTTTATTATGATAATAGTCCCCTGGTAGTTTTCTAATTTGGTAATGTCTACGTATTATATCTGTCGAGACTGAAGGTCATTTTGACTCTTAAATGTGTAATATTACTGTATTTTACATGGCAAAAACAAAATCAAGATGAAATACACAAAGTTATATTATATGATGTACATTTCATGAAAGTAACCTGTGAAATATGGTATCAGTGTCTATTAACAGAGATAATATGAATTGTGTTTCTTTGAAATGTAGTAAAACAGTATGCTTCAAACATAAGTCTGAGCAGAGACGTATATACTGGCTTTATATGTCTCTGGTCTGAGTGGCAAAGAGACAAATGTTCACTTGTCTACCAAATCTAACAGATCACGGGACGTCAAACCATCAATTGGTCTGGCCTGTTATATAACAGATCACGGGACATCAAACCATCAATTGGTCTGGCCTGTTATATAACAGATCACAGGATGTCAAACCTTCAATTGGTCTGGCCTGTTATATAACAGATCACGGAACATCAAACCTTCAATTGGTCTGGCCTGTTACATAACAGATCACGGGACGTCAAACCATCAATTGGTCTGGCCAGTTATATAACAGATCACGGGACGTCAAACCATCAATTGGTCTGTCCTGTTATATAACAGATCACGGGACGGCAAACCATCAATTGGTCTGGCCTGTCATATAACAGATCACGGGATGTCAAACCTTCAATTGGTCTGGCCTGTTACATAACAGATCACGGGACGTCAAACCCTCAATTGGTCTGGCCAGTTATATAACAGATCACGGGACGTCAACCCATCAATTGGTCTGGCCTGTTATATAAGAGATCACGGGACGTCAAACCTTCAATTGGTCTGGCCTGTTATATAACAGATCACGGAACGTCAAACCTTCAATTGGTCTGGCCCGTTATCTAACAGATCACAGGACGTCAAACCATCAATTCGTCTGGCCCGTTATCTAACAGATCACGGGACGTCAAACCTTCAATTGGTCTGGCCTGTTATCTAACAGATCACGGGGCGTCAAACCTTCAATTGGTCTGGCCCGTTATCTAACAGATCACGGGACGTCAAACCTTCAATTGGTCTGGCCTGTTATATAACAGATCACAGGACGTCAAACCTTCAATTGGTCTGGCCTGTTATCCTACAGATCACAGGACGTCAAACCTTCAATTGGTCTAGCCTGTTATCCTACAGATCACGGGACGTCAAACCTTCAATTGGTCTGGCCTGTTATCCAACAGATCACGGGACGTCAAACCTTCAATTGGTCTGGCCTGTTATCTAGGATGTAGCAGTGGCCATTTGCGATGTACTTTTTTACTCAGTTAACAGTGACCACTTTAATTTTGACTGTATGTAGAACTCGTCAGCAGCATAATGGCTAACAATCCACAGATATTGCGAAATAGCATGTGTGAGAATATTACCTATATATTTTTGTACCTTGGGTATATATATGTATGTACTATCAATAAATTACACAACATAAAATTGACTGGTCCTTTTATTATCTATTTTCTAAAGAAAAAGACAGTCTGGTTTTTAGGACAGAGACAAAATCTATTCAACACAAGATCCTAGACTTAATTACTGGGTAGTGGAGGATATAGGTTGTAATTGTTACACCCGACTAACTCACCTCAAGTTTCATATTTATACCACTAAACTTGTTAACATGGCAGTCGAGGAAGCTGGCATAGCCATCATTACACACTATTTTACTCTCCTTTTGCCTTTTTTAAATTCATATACAGAGCATAAAGAATCTAATCCTCAGTGTCTACGTTTGAACAAGACCCTCACCATAGCATAGGACTATAATCCATGCTTTCCTGCATCCATATAAACATACCCTAATTCTCCAAGCTTTCTACGATACCCTAATTCTCCAAGCTTTCTAACGATACCCTAATTCTCCAAGCTTTCTACAATACCCTAAATCTCCAAGCTTTCTACGATACCCTAATTCTCCAAGCTTTCTACGATATCCAGTGTTGGGTATGGAATTGTTTTTGTTTTGTATGACAGTTGTGCAAATATATATATATATCAACTGGAGTAAAATGTATGTGAAATTCATTTTCATATGGTAAGCTTTGCATTTTCAGGTAAAAAACAACAAACTCATCCCGCTTGTGTACAATCAAACGTTTATTTTATACTGTGATTGGCACTAGGATTGACCAATAAGAATTAACATATCCATAGGCCACACCTAGAATATTGGGATTGACCAATGAGGAGTCATATTTAGGCCACACCTACAATATCAGGATAGACCAATGAGGATTGATGTACCTTATTTGAATACACATATATAATTTCTTCTAATCCATATCTGTAGGTAATCCCAACCAATCAAGTTCTACTTTCTATAATGTTGAAGGTAATATTATCTAGAACGTAACATTACAGTTTTGTTATTGAGCCTGTATACCAGACCTATATCGCTCACATTTAATGGTCTTACTTCTTTAACCCTGGACGGCCCATGACTTGTATATAACCAATCACTCGCTATCTCATTCAAATCATTATCAACTAACTTTAACTTTGTATCTACTTGAAGATTAATTTGATAAACATTGAGAGTAGATTAAGGATTCCACTCTCAATACTTACCAAACCCCTGTAAACATGTATTAATGCTGAAAATGTATCACTTGGATTAACTCATTCACCCCTGAATTTTCATAATGAACTATTCCAACCGTTGAATTGGAAGATTTCAAATCTGTCTTCAAGGGTGAATGAGTTCACATCATCATAACTCTCTCAAAGCAACTTGACAAAACAAATAGTCTCGTACTTATTATACTTAAAGTTAACAACATCCTTGCTGATATCACCATGGACATTGCTATCAAATTTTAAATTAATCATTCTTATACAAAAATTCAGATTTCGTTTTCTTCTATAAGATTTTTTTTCTCCCAATGGGTGAGTGCGGTCATCAGCTATTTACCATTAAGTCAGGCTGTTACACCTAATGTCAGGCTGTAACACCTAATGCCAGGCTGTTACACCTAATGTGCACACCGTTACTTCTTGTTTCTTTATACATGACATGCACACCGTTACTTCTTGTTTCTTTATACATCAGCAATACACAATACACTAAAGTGAGGTCTATCAAACTTTATAGTTAGACCATAGCCACTATAGTTGATGATCAAACTCGCCCAATATAACTAGATGTAGTTACTTTTTAAATTGGGAGTTATCTTCCCTTACTTGTTCTTGAAGCTAACATGAAGCGGTTAGTAATTAATGCTTGTAGATTAAAGCTGGATAGAATTAACAAAGCCAGCGAATAAGTAACATAACAAATCTCAACCGAGGAAAAGATAACTTATAAATAAAATACTGTATAAAACATCAACATCCTTTGTAAGAAAGTCAAAGGCAACGTAATTATGAAGGCAAGCAACCACCTATAAAATTGGACTAGCTACGTAGTCTGGACCTCCAAACCAGGTCAACTACTCTATAACACTGGGGGGGGGGTGTTTGCTATATACTCAAAGTATTCTTCACAATTTGTCATTCAGAAATTGGATTTAATTTTGAAAATGAATTGTTAAAACCTGCACAGTGTATTGGTTAGTTCTGAGGTTTAATCAATGCAGATTTTATATAATTAGTTAAACAAGGCTTATTGGATCATATTTGGCTTCTTTGTGTTTTTTGGAGATTTGAAATGATAGAAAATTCTATTCAATTTCTAAATTAAATCATTTTGGCAAATATTGGCATTTTAAGTGAATCTGTAAAAAGATATCAGGATAATTTTTTTCTCACACAAAATATCTGCTACATAGTATTTTTATATAAAACCAATGAGGTTCTTGTCTATTCTAGATACATTGCCCAACTCAACAAGAAGGGAGGTCTAATATCTATATTCAGAGTCAAAGGTCAATTGTCATATACACAGATGAATACTATTTAACTAAACCTACAACGCCTAGAAAAGTTTTCACATGTGATATTTAATTGTGTATATATCCTATAATTGAATATTATCAATTAGTATTGCTCAGTAACAAATTTTAATATTTCATGGGGGAAAAAAATATTATCAACTTGAATATACTTTGGTAATATAATGATAATGTAAACTCATAGGGAATTGTTATTTCCTACTTCAATTTACGTAGAATGAAGACCAGGAAAACCTAAGTATAAACTTGTATGTTTTGGTTTGTTGCAATGAAAACCATAAAGATGGTTTTGCCACTGACTTGCATCAAAACGGCAAGAAAGTTAGTTATAACTAAAAATACATAAATAGTGTTCTACACATGTAGCAATCTTATACTCACATACACCAGAACGTTTTACAGTACAATATATTTGCAAAAATTACCAATACAGCTGTCAAAATAAATAACAAAAAAATAAATCATAAGATCATCTGCTGACCTTAAAAACGCCTAATCTAGTCCACCTTTCCCCTTTCTTCTTCAACGGAAATTTGCAGTTTGTTGTTTTTTCATATGGAAAATAAAACCGATTGCACGACGCACAGATAGCATCACTGCTCTCCTGACATAATGGCGCATCACTGACATGAAATATGGAGATCATGAAATGTCACACGAGTGCTGAGGAAAAAAAATGGAACATGAAAAAAGCTGAAATCTGTAGCACCTTTGGATACATCTATCCTACGGCAGTTGTTTATACAGCATACATTAAACAACTGGATTTGGCAACGTTGTTAGGCTTAACTCATTCACCCCTGAACACCCATTTGAACTCTTCCAATTCAAAGGTTTGAATAGCTCATAAAATTTCAGGGGTAAATGAGTTAAAGTAAGATTAGTCACTAATTTTAGACATTCAGAAAAACCTAAATTTTTAACATCATTTACCAAAATGTAGTATAACCATTAAGAAAGCATGTCAAAAGGTCAAAATCTATTAAAATTCGTTCGTAAGCATAAAAACTGAAAATATCAAGAAGCTAATAATGTACCATTCTGTATCTAAGATTTAGGCTCTGAACTTCCGACACAGTCAAACATATATCTACCAATCAAATATACACCATAATGGTACTCACGAGTATGTCAGAACCGTTGAATTCATATACTCATCTAATGGATTAACACACATTTTATCTACCAATCAAATATACACAATAATGGTACTCCCGAGTATGTCAGTACCGTTGAATTCATATACTCATCTAATGGATTAACACACAATTCAGTTACTGCATAAATTATCCAAACACAATACCATTTTCTATCTGTTCAACAAAAAACAAATCCTGCTTTAGCATGCAATATGAAGTCTCTATTTGACACGAACCCCTGGTAGTATTTAATTTTTATCTAACCGCTCTCCATTTTGGAAAGTTCAGTAAAGTAATGTCAAAAGTAAAATCTGTAGTCTAAATTCTGAATTCTGAACAATATATTTGGTATACCCTGTAAATCTAGTCTCCTTTATGCCACTTATAATACCCAAAATCTTGATGACGTCACTAAAGCCAGAATTTGTGTGACATCACTAAAGCCAGAAACTCTGTGATGTCATTATAGCCAGAATCTCTGTGACGTCACTATAGCCAGAATCACTGTGACGTCACTATAGCCAGAATCTCTGTGACGCCACTATAGCCAGAATCACTGTGACGTCACTATAGCCAGAATCTGTGACGTCACTATAGCCAGAATCTCTGTGACGTCACTATAGCCAGAATCTCTGTGACGTCACTATAGATTGAATCTAAATAGTCAATTAATGCTTGTTACAATTTTCAGAGGTTTTCTAAAAATCAAACTACATATACCCTGGTAATGCATATTTTGGATAACTTTTTCCTCCTGGGATTCTAATTTGTTTGCATAAATTTATGATTGGATTACATCAACTTGTATACTAGATTAAGCAAACAAAGTTAACCCAGCATGCAAGATATTCTGAGCAAAACATTTGTATATCTAAAAATTAAGTTATCTGACCCTATATACTGTGCATGCTAACCTACAGCACTGAATACTTGTGATTATAATACATTACAAGGTATATTAATATTAGGCTATCACAGAATTCTTTCTAAAAAGGCAAAAAAGAAATCATCAAAAGAAATATTAAAATATAATCTGAGTGTACACATTGTTTACAACCTACGGTAGTTTAAGACACATACAAATCAAAGGTGTGCCTTTCACTTTTTGTAAATTTTACTTTTTTGAAACAAAACAACTGAACAAATTATTAAAATCCTCCTTATCCTGAAATTTTGGAAGAAATTTCTAATTTGTTTGTTCATGTGGAAAATTTTCACAATTTGTACATTTTTTCCTTTTGTTATTATAATTCAATACAGATTTAGCTGGAAGTTACAGAAAAAAGTTACTTGATATCAAGATTTTTCAATTATCGCCGTTAAAATAGAACACAAAAATACAAACAAAAAACCCAGAAAAAGCCCTACACCAATTTTAAAATTGTTCATTGGCCTTCCATTTCTAGTAAATCATAGAACCTTTTCGGAAATCCAATAACTTAGACAATCACGTTTCAGCTCTGTACACAGGAATCCGACTCCAAACACCGTCCTAGGCTGTTTGTCAAACTGAGGTACTAAATGTATTTAGTAAAAGACAGAGTAGATAAAATATAAACTTTGAACTAAAAACAAAACAAAACGTCAATGGGATGATGTACAATGCAGTATTTCAGCACCAGGTAATTAATAACAAAGTTCCCCGGAACCGACACGACACTCGATCGCCCCGTAACACACTCGATCGCCCCCGTAACACACTTGATCGCCCCGTAACACTCCCACACCGTATTCTACACACCATCTCGTATAACACAGTAGGCAGCTACGATGGTGCACCTTCATAATACCAGTACAATAACATTGCTACTTAAAATCTTTCAATGTATATAAATGTATAATAAATAAAGAAAACTCTTTCAATAAAAACTTCTTCATGTAGAATTCAAAAGGTGGAAAGTTTTCTTAACTATTAATAATCAGAAAGGTGTTTTTTTCATTGGCAGAATGTGTAACAAACCTTATACATGTACAAGCTTTTGTATAACGTGGGAAAGGATAACAAAAAACGTTATTAAATTCCGAAGATTCAAAAAAAGCTTCTTCTTTGCATTATAAAGACTAGCAGTCTTTACACATGAAATTATTTATTTATTGGGAATTATTAAATACCGAACTTTGTCTTTGATAAATTGATCCCATTCTGTGGAATGTGATATTTGATCCCTTTAGGATCAACAACTGGTCCCATCACCTGGAATGTCTTTTGTTGTAACAATATTAAAATGGATTCATATATTTCATCACATACAGATTAGCGTTTCCAAGTTACATGTTATTTTATTTCTCAATATTAGAGATTGTGAACAAAACATCCAACCAAGTTTTCTGAATTCTTCCATCTTTCTAGCTTAATCTCCGATCTCTCTGGGGAAAAACCCGAGAAACTTCCTACCTTAATCTCGAATCTCTCTGGGAAAAAACTTTAAAGTGTTATTAAACACGATATAGATCTCCATTGAGGTCTACCAAAAAATCTAGTCTAAATGTCAATTTGTTATCTTTTTTGTAGATGACTCCATGTTGGGGATTGTTTCCCAGTGAAAGTTTTATTAGATTTTTTTGTTTTGCTTAGGATCGGGACAACTAGATAAATATAATAAAATATTGTAAGAATTATGAAAATCAGTCGAACAAATGTTTCATGGACAATCTCAAAAACTGAGAGAAGAAATCAAGTGAACTGTAGTTGTTGATTTCCTACAGATATTTAAACATTGTTTTATTTATTTTAGATTTTACTTCTCATTGCCTGTTCTTATACTAGCCTACGATGTCAGACACAAAGAACAGGTTTATTACCATTAACACAGTTCATACACAGTATGTAAAAAACACATTGTTACAACCATGCACCATCATGCAAAATTATAATACATTGGTACTAATAGTCATGCTCATAAAATACAGCCCTCAGTCAGAAATTCACCAGTATCAGGATCTCAATGATCAATAAACAGCCATCACTTAAGTTTCCATTTAAATTGTTCACCTAAATTTGGTTGGCAATTACTTTGTATTTCATTTTCATGTCTGAATAATGGGATCAAAGCCTAGCTTTACGAATGAATCGTTTTCTGTAACTGTTTTAGCATTTATACTAATATAAATCTCTGTCAATATTACTCTTTTTTGGCGAATTTATGCTGAAATGGTGTGTAGCCGGCCATGCTGACCACTGGTGCATCCATTGGTGTGTGCTGTAAGGAGGCAGGTTACAATACATCATGTCGGTCTCGGGACACTGCTGTTACAAAAATAAACGATTTACATAAACAAATGAGGTATGACATGGTATGTACAAAATTCTGAGAAATTCTGTGTGATTGCTTTAAAACATATTTTCAAAAAAAGATCCACTTTTTTTTTACATAATATTCAAACTTTGTACAGAAATAAGTTATCATTCATTTATTTTTTACAATTAACAAAAAAAGAAAAACTCACATATCACAAAATATACGTTTATTCTATTTAATATCACTTTCTTTGGTTTAAAATACTGATTCAATGTTTCTAATTTACAATTTAAAATATTACATCTCATTATAGATGCTCACTGGAAAATTGTATACAGTACAAAATGGAATAATGCAATGGTTACCGTTCCACGCTAGACAAGTTCATACAGAAAACCAGTCAAACAGAGGTCACTGAGCTAGTCATAATTAATCATCCTAATTTGGACACAGAAACATCCTACATAATGCCTAGTTTTACAATGCACAGTGAATTTCTCAGAGTTTCCTTTCTCTATTATAAGTATGTGATGCATGAACTATGGAATAAATATGACATGCTCGATGAAGAATGAGGATGAGCACCCAGGCGCGAAGCCTTTCGTATTGTGATGTCTCTTTCAAGCTTCTTAATTCACCAACACAGGTATCCGCGCCATTCACCAAGTTTTGTTTGAAAACCTGTCAAACATTTTCAAAGTTGTACATACTCAGAACGCTTTTCTCTATCACGAGAAGAACTGTTCCATTTGCACCGGCTTGCTGGGTTTCTTTTTGACAACTTTCTTCGGAGGTGGTTGTTTGCGAGTGGACTCACAGCTACGGGTGGTGAGCCCAGATTTTGTGGTGTGGTGACGTTGATAGCGCTTGGAGTTTAACATGGGCATGTTACCGTTGAAGAGGTCCTTGAGAGGGGGAAGGCGGACCGCTAGTCACCTAGACTTGGTGGCTGTTAATGATGCAACACTTGCGTAATTTGTAATGGGCGTTGTTTCTCCGGGTGAGGGCACTGATGACGCGCTACTAGACTGGGACGCCGTTCTATGGCTGTGGATTGCGATGGCAGGGGCTTTGGGTGGCTTTTTAGACACTTTCGGCAATTGTGAAGTGGATACACTACAGGGAAAGTGAGAGAAAAAACACAACAAAACCATAAAACATTCATTGGTCATGCAATTCAAATCATAATAAAAATACAATAATAAACAAAAAGTGATAGATATGTGGCAGTTGGATATATATGACTTGCACAAGTTCCCCTTTCTACAAAATAATTGATAATTAATTGTCACATGACACATGACATCAAGGTGTTTAGCTAACTCAGCAACACATGACATGAAGGTGTTTAGCGAACTCAGCAACACATGACATCAAGTTGTTTAGTTAACTCATCACATGACATGAAGGTGTTTAGCTAACTCAGCAACACATGACATCAATTTGTTTAGCTAACTCAACAGCACATGATTTCAAGTTGTTTAGCTAACGCAGCAACACATGACATCAAGATGTTTAGCTAACTCCACAACACATGACATCAAGTAGTTTTGCTAACTCCGCAACACATGACATCAATTTGTTTAGCTAACTCAACACATGACATGAAGGCGTTTAGCTAACTCAGCATCACAAGACATCAAGTTGTTTAGCTATCTCAACACATGACATGATGGTGTTTAGCTAACTCATCAACACATGACATAAAGTTGTTTAGCTAACTCGGCAACACAAGACATCAAGTTGTTAAGATAACTCAACAACACATGCTATCAAGTTGTTTGACTAACTCAACAACATATGAGATCAAGTTGTTTAGCTAACGCAGCAACACATGACATCAATTTGTTTAGCTAACTCAGCACCACATGACATCAAGTTGATTAGCTAACTCAACAACCCATGACATCTAGTTGTTTTGCTAACTCAGCAACACATGACATCAAGTTGTTTAGCTAACTCAACAACACATGATATCAAGTTGTTTGACTAACTCAACAACATATGACATCAAGTTGTTTAGCTAACTCAACAACACATGATATCAAGTTGTTTAGCTAACTCAACAACACATGATATCAAGTTGTTTAGCTAACTCAACAACATATGACATCAAGTTGTTTAGCTAACTCAGCAACACATGACATCATGAATATTTTGTTTATTTAGTAAGAGGCATCAGGATCTGGTAACTTTTTTATATATATATTTATGTGCTTTACAGAATTTTGGAGTAACTTTTATCAATTTGTATTACTATCACTGTTGTTGGGCCAGATGGTAGTACACAGGGGGTGTTGAAGTGGGAGTACCCACAGAAAACCTATTTGGCTGGGTAAGTGACCAAAAACTATTCACATCTGGATGGAAAATTGAACCCAAGTCATGTTGGTGAAAGGCAAGTATGCTATTAAATGTGTAATCCAACCATCCAACCATCCTGGTTATACAGAACCGCCAACACATTAGCAGCTGATCTTTTGTAAAACGGACAATGGGTGTTTCCACCAGATCCACTTATAGGGACTTTTGCAAGCATCAAAGCCAAGTAAAGCAATCATTCAAAATAAAAAGTTGTTCAAATTATTATTGACTCCATGCAAACAGAAATAAAGAGGTATACTGTGGCCTTGACGTGATGATATCAATGTAAACCAAAGGCTGTTTATTTGTCTTTTCTTCCACTTACTGTTAAAGGTATTGATGATGTATGCCTAAATATGTAGAAGATTCCGCCAGTACCCCCGTAATAATACCTTAATAGTCTACCCCCAGGATAAGATCAGTAAATATGACGAGATAACACGTGGACGGTGAACACTGTGATATAATTCTGTGTAATAACATTCACTACACAGGTCTGTACATACTGGTTACACTGTACATACACAACAACAAATCACAACACTAAACAGCCAATCAACAGCCACTTATGTTACAGAGTCACTAAGCAAAACTATCTTTGGACACGGAACTATATCTACCAGCAAGCATATACTGTTATTTATTTGAAAACTACAATTTTTCAAACATTTCAAACAGGTTTCATACTTGCAAAATACATTTAACATTCAATACAAATACAATTTCTTGCCCGACACATTTTTACAGGGGTATATGCATTTATTGTAACAAAATATGAAATTTCTGAAACATTGTAGTGGCATTTCTCAGTACACAAAGACAATAGCAGCTCCACAAATACAACACTTACACACAGCACAACAAAACAACACCGAGTGTATATATATGTACATTTACTCATACAAACTGACCAGCATAGAACGTGGTCATTAGCAATCATGACAACCTTTTTGAACAATGATTTATTCTCCCACATAGCTACTGTTGACATAACAACATCAGGACACCTACAGAACTTTACAGCTCAAAAGATGACACTCCAATGTTGAATAGGAAACATGGTCATTGAGCCCTGTACGACACCTCACCATTATATATCGTTCCAGTGAGACAGAAATATAGCCGATATATCACTTCTACCTCTGTACTGTTTGTGTTGATAAGGAGCCGGAGGAATACACAGATGTCAGATTATACTAAATATATCCCGTTTACATAACACAGATGGTAACAATACGTACAAGAAAACACTGCATTTCTAGAACAATATCAAGGTACACAGTCGACCGAGGAAATACAATCGGACGTGGAAACACTAGATTCCCCACACCTTCTAACAGGACCAGTACTTCTGGCATTTTCCCTATAAAACCTATGCACAACCTTTAAAATAGGCTCTGTATTGAAGTAGGTATAATGCTTTCATTTCTCATTAGCACCTAGCTCTATCCCTGTCCACATAGCTCCAATAACGGAAAGCTCATTTTGCTTCTGTGGCTCATGATCATCAGTCTAGCCGGCGACGCCCCAAATTTACCCTAAGCAGACCACCAAGGAGCCATGCTGGACATACACACATAAAAGACAAACTACCATCAATAACAAAGAAATATATATCTACAATATCAAAATGTCACAAAACAATAGGCCAATAAATAATCATGATTTCATTTAAATACCATCACTTAAAACTCTTTCGGTACAAAAAGTTAACACTAGAATGAGAGTAATTTGTTATTTGGGATATTCAGTGATTGTTAAGTGCATAATTTGATTTAAATTTGGAGGACATGTTCCTATTAAGGATTAATAACAACTGGCAAACTGAAAGATCATATATATATTCAACAAAGTATTAAAAGCATATACATTGTGATGTAAACAGTCAACTTCTGAAAAACTGATATTTTTATCATGAGAAACTTTGATTTGGAAACCTGATTTTGGCAACGGCTTGGAATTAAACATAACAAACCTAGACAGTAACCATGGAAACAGGGAGGTATTTAATATTTTGGCAACCTTTCTAAAACAATACTCTCACATCTGATATGAAGTTTGAGTTTCAGGACAATCATAGCTCATAAATACGTGTGTAAAGTCACTTTTGGCAAAAGAAATTCAAGATGAATTTAACAAAACAAAGTCTGACAATATAATATATATATATAGTAAACAATAGGTAGTCTTCGTACAAACATTTCAACAAAATACACTTACAAAACATCAACACGTAAACTCTGTTTAAAATACAGATGTTCCTATACAGATGTTCCTATACAGATGAAGGTGTACCAGGATAATAAGCTATGTGAATCGTATAGTACCAGTAGATCCCCACAAACACCTCGGACAAAAACAACAATTTATAACAACAATATACAAAGATATATACAAACATTTGAAAATCACTGAAATTTGACTAAATGTAAATTGGAAATGTCTTCTTTTTTTATATAAACATTTGTCATTCATAGACCTTATGATCAAGTATCGTCTGCTACAGACCATGTGATTTAAGTGTTACTATCTATAGGTCATGTAGCCTAAATGTCGTCTGCTACATACCCTGTTATCCAAGTGTTGTCTGCTATAGAGCCTGTGACCTAAGTGTCGTCTGCTATAGAGCCTGTGACCTAAGTGTTGTCTGCTATATAACCTGTGACCTAAGTGTCGTCTGTTATATAACCTGTGACCTAAGTGTTGTCTGCTATATAACCTGTGACCTAAGTGTTGTCTGCTATATAACCTGTGACCTAAGTGTTGTCTGCTATATAACCTCTGACCTAAGTGTCGTCTGTTATATAACCTCTGACCTAAGTGTTTTCTGCTATAGAGCCTGTGAACTATATAGCTAATTGTCGTCTGCGATGGACCCTGTTATCTAAATGTCGTCTTCCATAGACCAAGTGACCTAAGTGTTGTCTGCTATAGACCATGTGACTGAAGTGTTGTCTGCTATAGACCATGTGACCGAAGTGTTGTCTGCTATAGACACTATGACCTAAGTACTGTCTGCTATAGACACTATGACTTAAGTGTTGTCTGTTATATAACCTGTGACCAAAGTGTCGTCTGCTATAGAGCCTGTGACCTAAGTGTCGTCTGCTATAGAGCCTGTGACCTAAGTGTCGTCTGCTACCTAAGTGTCGTCTGCTATAGAGCCTGTGACCTAAGTGTCGTCGGCTATATAACCTGTGACCTAAGTGTCGTCGGCTATAGAGCCTGTGACACACTGTCGAGGGAAAGAGTAAGGCGTTAGAATCTGTGACAGGTACATGAAGTTCATGACAAACAGCTCGAGGAATACAGGTTCCGCCTTCACATACCTCGACCGCACATGCAATGCTGCACGCATGTCGTGTTTGGGTTGTGGTGCACTTTGCATACGAGGCTCGCCACGGTAACTGTTCAAACCCGAACTTGGTGGAGCCCACTGAAAGAACAAATAACGGACAATAAGCTTAAAACAGCTTCGAAACAAATATTAAGACTCTCTTTATTTATAATTTCTTTACTAAATCTACTGTGAAATTATCCCTGCCCTGTGAAAAATCAATGACAATATGATAAACTTCCATGTCAATCAATAGGTAAATAATAAAAGGCAATTCATCAAACAGTTCTGAGTGTAGATGTGAGTGATTAGTTCACGATATAATTCAATATTCTATGTATTATTGCTGGACTATCTGTAGTCAGCTTTGTACTTACCTGATGATATGGGCTATCTGTTGGGTTTTCCAGATGCACACCTTCGTCACAGTACAGTTCTAGCAGAGCTATACCTACAACATGTAGCACGTTTCAGGTGTTACTGTCCTCTGACAACTATCGAGCTCTCTTGGCTCTGTACCAGAACAGTCCGTTTAATGGGACTTAAACACAGTGGCATAGCAAATCATTTTTCGGAGTGTATGCTTATAGGGGGTCGAGCGTTCGAGGCGTAGAGCGCCAGAGGAGGGGGAGGGTGTGAACTCCCACTCCCGTAGATAAAAAGGATTCCACTAGGTCCTAGAAGCAATCTCTCGTATTCTGGGGAATCCTTTTAATTCGATTATTGACAAGTAAAACCGAACTTTTGATATCATTAATAACAACCTTCAGGATTTTTCACTGTGTGTAAACTTAACAACACTATTTTATCAGACTAAAATTTTCAAGCAGATTTTTTTTATTCTTTCCTTTTTTATGATTGATACGGATGGTCAATATTAATCAAAGAAATAGATTTTAATTAAAAAAAATCTTGAAAATTTTAGTGTATTCTTGAGCATACAAACATACATGTATGCTACACCACTGCAACAGACCTTGTTGTATACACGTAACGCTGTACTGTCCAGGTACAATGTAGAGAATCAGTAACGGGGGAAAACACGTGTTAAGAATACACAAATAAATCTGCTGTGACACCAAAGAAAAATAATATTAAGAGGTGACTCAAATGACTGAAGTCGGGACCGCCGATAAAAAAAAATCTCCTCGTTTTTTTCCAAATACATTCAAGTATTTAACAGATAGTTTATTTATTGGTAATCAAATATCTTGATCAACGACGTTGGTTTACAGTGATAAGTGACAGTTACCTTTCTGCTCCATCCTGTTGTATCTCTGTACGTACTGGTCCAGTAGCAAGTTGTAGTAGCGATGCGTCTCAAAGTAATGCATGTATTTGTGAGTGTTTGGGGTGGGGAACACACGCTGGAAGCTTCCCTTGCGGCTGTCCTCGTCAATACTTTCAGTCAGTATTCGTATGTCATCAGGCGTCAATACGTCCAAAACCGTCTGCAAAACTTGCTGTAAACCAGAATCAACACAAACCAGAATTTATTGTTTGTAAACAAAATGTTTCTTCTTATTAGCCACATACACATTTTTTGGAACTTATTTATCCTCTTACTTAGAGGTGAAAGATCTCAAGAACCTAAATAGTGGACAGTACAAGGGTCTACCTCTCTAGATGATGAAGGTAGACATAAGTTTCATCTTTACCGGGAGAAAAATAGAGCTTTGACATTTAAGTTTTAACTTAAAAATTTGCACATACGTAAATGTTGTGAAGGGATAATTTTCTTAAAACAAATTGCAAAGTAAATCAGAAGCTCTAATTCTAAATCATAACAATAGTTGAAGTACACGTAAATGTCAAGTTTACGAAGTTATTATAAGTAGTAGAGGTTTATCTACTGGCTGACCCCTGAATGGTCAATATTCATGTTAGCAAAGTTTATGACTGTAACAGCAGGTAATAAAACCAGTAGGAGATACCTACATTTCAGTTCAGTTTATGAGTTAATGTAAATGCAAGGAAATACGGGCTGTACTTCTTTGCACAGAAACCAGCCAGCTGAAAGTTTGTGTCTGAAAGAATTTGTGTTTTGGCAATTTTTTTCCATCATCCGTACATTATCTGGACCCACTTCCTTATCATCTTTATGCACATTTCCATAATTCTATTAAAGAAAAATGTCCACTGACAAATAAGTAGCGTAATCAACAATAACATCTTTCAATGAACCATGCCATTCAGTACCTCGTCCTGGTGTCGCTGACTGTAGTAGGCGTGCTTACTCCGCTCGTCCGGCGAGTGGTTCTGGGCGAACAACCTTTTGTCCATACAGTAGTCGTTAGATGGATTGTGGTGACTTAAGTCTGAAGAAGTTGTCTGGGTGCTATGGACAACCACATCACTTTTCTCTGGGATACGGAAACCAGCGATGTTAAAAAGGTCCCGGATCATCTGTCCCTTTATGTTGATGTCCAGTTGAGAGTTGGAATGTAAACTGTCAGGAAAATAAATCATATAGGGACTGAACGGCATTGTTTTAATTTTTATGCCAGAATGAACACAAATCGGTTACATCCATATTGCATGAAGCCTGCTAGGGCATGGTAATGTTCATATAGTGGGTTGCAGCGCAAATGTAAATATGATGTATAACCAAAGACAGCATATTTTTAATATATATGAAGCTAATTTTGTAGAGAATGTATTAGTTACACTAGCTAATTTTATAGAGAATGTATCAGTTACACTGGCGAATTTTATAGAGAATGTATCAGTTACACTAGCCAATTTTATAGAGATTGTATCAGTTACACTAGCCAATTTTATAGAGAATGTATCAGTTACCCTAGCCAATTTTATAGAGAATGTATCAGTTACCCTAGCCAATTTTATAGAGAATGTATCAGTTACCCTAGCCAATTTTATAGAGAATGTATCAGTTACACTGGCTAATTTTATAGATAATGTATCAGTTACACTAGCCAATTTTATAGAGAATGGATCAGTTACACTGGCTAATTATGTAGAGAAAGGATCAGTTACATTAGCTAATTTTATAGAGAATGTATCAGTTACCCTAGCCAATTTTATAGAGAATGTATCAGTTACCCTAGCCAATTTTATAGAGAATGTATCAGTTACACTGGCTAATTTTATAGATAATGTATCAGTTACACTAGCCAATTTTATAGAGATTGTATCAGTTACACTAGCCAATTTTATAGAGAATGTATCAGTTACACTGGCTAATTATGCAGAGAATGTATCAGTTACACTAGCTAATTATGTATAGAATGTATCAGTTACACTAGCTAATTTTATAGAGGATGTATCAGTTACACAGGCTAATTATGTAGAGAATACATGTATCAGTTACACTAGCTAATTTTGTAGAGAATGTATCAGTTACATTAGCTAATTTTATAGAGAATGTATCAGTTACACAAGCTGATTTTATAGAGAATGTATCAGTTACACTAGCTAATTATGTATAGAATGTATCAGTTACACTAGCTAATTTTATAGAGGATGTATCAGTTACACAGGCTAATTATGTAGAGAATACATGTATCAGTTACACTAGCTAATTTTGTAGAGAATGTATCAGTTACACAAGCTAATTTTGTAGAGAATGTATCAGTCAAACAAGCTAATTTTGTAGAGAATGTATCAGTTACACAAGCTAATTTTATAGAGAATGTATCAGTTACATTAGCTAATTTTGTAGAGAATGTATCAGTTACATTAGCTAATTTTATAGAGAAAGTATCAGTTGCACAGGGTAATTTTGTAGAGAATGTATCAGTTACACAAGCTAATTTTGTAGAGAATCTATCAGTTACACAAGCTAATTTTATAGAGAATGTATCAGTTACATTAGCTAATTTTGTAGAGAATGTATCAGTTACATTAGCTAATTTTATAGAGAATGTATCAGTTACACAGGCTAATTTTGTAGAGAATGTATCAGTTACACAAGCTAATTTTGTAGAGAATGTATCAGTTACACAAGCTAATTTTATAGAGAATGTATCAGTTACACTGGCTAATTTTATAGAGAATGTATCAGTTACACTAGCCAATTTTATAGAGAATGTATCAGTTACACTGGCTAATTATGTAGAGAATGTATCAGTTACACTAGCTAATTTTATAGAGAATGTATCAGTTACACTAGCCAATTTTATAGAGAATGTATCAGTTACACTAGCTAATTTTGTAGAGAATGTATCAGTTACACTAGCTAATTTTGTAGAGAATGTATCAGTTACACTAGCTAATTTTGTAGAGAATGTATCAGTTACACTAGCTAATTTTGTAGAGAATGTATCAGTTACACTAGCTAATTTTGTAGAGAATGTATCAGTTACACTAGCTAATTTTGTAGAGAATGTATCAGTTACACTAGCTAATTTTATAGAGAATGTATCAGTTACACTAGCTAATTTTGTAGAGAATGTATCAGTTACACTAGCTAATTTTGTAGAGAATGTATCAGTTACACTAGCTAATTTTGTAGAGAATGTATCAGTTACACTAGCTAATTTTGTAGAGAATGTATCAGTTACACTAGCTAATTTTGTAGAGAATGTATCAGTTACACTAGCTAATTTTGTAGAGAATGTATCAGTTACACTAGCTAATTTTATAGAGAATGTATCAGTTACACTAGCTAATTTTGTAGAGAATGTATCAGTTACACTAGCTAATTTTGTAGAGAATGTATCAGTTACACTAGCTAATTTTGTAGAGAATGTATCAGTTACACTAGCTAATTTTGTAGAGAATGTATCAGTTACACTAGCTAATTTTGTAGAGAATGTATCAGTTACACTAGCTAATTTTGTAGAGAATGTATCAGTTACACTAGCTAATTTTATAGAGAATGTATCAGTTACACTAGCTAATTTTGTAGAGAATGTATCAGTTACACTAGCTAATTTTGTAGAGAATGTATCAGTTACACTAGCTAATTTTGTAGAGAATGTATCAGTTACACTAGCTAATTTTATAGAGAATGTATCAGTTACACTAGCTAATTTTGTAGAGAATGTATCAGTTACACTAGCTAATTTTGTAGAGAATGTATCAGTTACACTAGCTAATTTTATAGAGAATGTATCAGTTACACTAGCTAATTTTGTAGAGAATGTATCAGTTACACTAGCTAATTTTGTAGAGAATGTATCAGTTACACTAGCTAATTTTATAGAGAATGTATCAGTTACACTAGCTAATTTTGTAGAGAATGTATCAGTTACACTAGCTAATTTTGTAGAGAATGTATCAGTTACACTAGCTAATTTTATAGAGAATGTATCAGTTACACTAGCTAATTTTGTAGAGAATGTATCAGTTACACTAGCTAATTTTGTAGAGAATGTATCAGTTACACTAGCTAATTTTATAGAGAATGTATCAGTTACACTAGCTAATTTTGTAGAGAATGTATCAGTTACACTAGCTAATTTTGTAGAGAATGTATCAGTTACACTAGCTAATTTTATAGAGAATGTATCAGTTACACTAGCTAATTTTGTAGAGAATGTATCAGTTACACTAGCTAATTTTGTAGAGAATGTATCAGTTACACTAGCTAATTTTATAGAGAATGTATCAGTTACACTAGCTAATTTTGTAGAGAATGTATCAGTTACACTAGCTAATTTTGTAGAGAATGTATCAGTTACACTAGCTAATTTTATAGAGAATGTATCAGTTACACTAGCTAATTTTGTAGAGAATGTATCAGTTACACTAGCTAATTTTGTAGAGAATGTATCAGTTACACTAGCTAATTTTATAGAGAATGTATCAGTTACACTAGCTAATTTTGTAGAGAATGTATCAGTTACACTAGCTAATTTTGTAGAGAATGTATCAGTTACACTAGCTAATTTTATAGAGAATGTATCAGTTACACTAGCTAATTTTGTAGAGAATGTATCAGTTACACTAGCTAATTTTGTAGAGAATGTATCAGTTACACTAGCTAATTTTGTAGAGAATGTATCAGTTACACTAGCTAATTTTGTAGAGAATGTATCAGTTACACTAGCTAATTTTGTAGAGAATGTATCAGTTACACTAGCTAATTTTGTAGAGAATGTATCAGTTACACTAGCTAATTTTGTAGAGAATGTATCAGTTACACTAGCTAATTTTGTAGAGAATGTATCAGTTACACTAGCTAATTTTGTAGAGAATGTATCAGTTACACTAGCTAATTTTGTAGAGAATGTATCAGTTACACTAGCTAATTTTGTAGAGAATGTATCAGTTACACTAGCTAATTTTGTAGAGAATGTATCAGTTACACTAGCTAATTTTGTAGAGAATGTATCAGTTACACTAGCTAATTTTGTAGAGAATGTATCAGTTACACTAGCTAATTTTGTAGAGAATGTATCAGTTACACTAGCTAATTTTGTAGAGAATGTATCAGTTACACAGGCTAATTTTGTAGAGAATGTATCAGTTACACTGGCTAATTTTGTAGAGAATGTATCAGTTACACTAGCTAATTTTGTAGAGAATGTATCAGTTACACAGGCTAATTTTGTAGAGAATGTATCAGTTACACAAGCTAATTTTATAGAGAATGTATCGGTTACATTAGCTAATTAGCTAATTTTATAGAGAATGTATCAGTTACACAAGCTGATTTTATAGAGAATGTATCAGTTACACTAGCTTATTTTGTACATATTTTGCACAGTTATTTTCTTCATAAAGTTCAGTAAAAGAAGTATTTATAAGAACTGTAATGTAAGCATTCCTAAAACCTGTTAAAACCCTGCTATTATTACTCAAGTAATTATTTTTAACAGTGTTCCCCAAAATCCTTCAGAACAGTTGGTTGTACTCCCATTATTTTAAAGACTATCATCCTGTACATCTGGGGGTACAGAATCTTGAAAATCCATAAAATATACCCCGAAATCCAACACTGTAGGGTAGCACCGGCTACTTTACTGAAGGTTTGACCCTGACCTTGGGGAGATGTTGACCTCTAGGATCCATGGCTTCAGGTTCTCGTCTAGGAGGATATCAAACCCGAACAGCTCGTGTATACAGTAACGACTTCGTACGTTAGCCTTGATCATACTGTTGATGGGGGAATCCGCACTGTGTCAAGCAAACATATATATTATGTACAGTAGCATAGATATAAAATTTACTGAGCCATCATTAAGAAATTGTTAATTTGCAAATTCCCTACTCACTTTTTTTTAAATGTTTTCAGAAATGTCATATTTCTATATACATGTAAAACACTTATATTACTTTCTGTGATTTTTCAGCCAAAAAAAAAAAAAAAAATTCTTTTAAAAGTTAAAAAATAAAAATGTTTCAGCAAATGTCATTTTCATTGAGTGGGTTGGGGAACAGCAAACAAACAATTTTTCAAGAATGTCTTTGAATGGCTCTAAATCAGTTTGAGGTATTTAAGGAATATTTTTTATCTTTATTTTGGTCATGTTATGAGATGATAACTCCACTTTAGCTGAGTCTAACTGAATGTCTTTGCAGACTGTACATATCAATTGCTATCTACAACAATACAGTACACTGACTGACGTCTACAAATCTATGAACCATGGATGGTTTGACCAGTGGCCAGTCTCTGTGTTAGTGACATACCAGATGATTGTCTTGATGACCAGGTCCTTGATGTTTTCCCAGATGGCTGCTGTGTTGATACCCTGTCGCTTCATGTAGTTCCATAAAGCCTTCAGCCCCCTGTAACGATAAACAGTCAATTAACACAACCCCCACTTATAAGCAATGTCTTGAGTTCTAAAAAGGAACAGGAACAGATAACTCTCCATTAATCATAACACAAATACAGAAATTAAACAAAGTGATTTACATTGTTTAGTACAATCTATTGTCACATTAGAAAGACTTGTGTTGAAAATATTTACACATTTAAATGCAAAAGTGTTGCTTTCAAGAGGAACATCAATGCATTTGCAAGTAAATGTTTTAGTTATATATTTAAATATCATAATCAAAACTATCTAAATGAACATTGTTTCAATAAGGAATTTCAAGATCAGAAAATTAAAGCTTACCATAAAAAATGTTCCAATAGCACAACACTTAAACAAAATTTAACAATCCACTTTGTGTTTTTGCACTTATAGCTTCACTGGATTCTGCAATGCTGACTTTGTATCATCAGATGTTAACGAGTCTATGTATTAATGTATGCAGTATACAGACAGATCAATAGTACAAACTTTATAATTTTTTCTTTTTCTTTTTTTTTCCACCAGAGACAAAAATGATGGGTTATCCAAATTTCAATCAGGTAAAACAACTACTTTATTTTCTTAATGTAACTTTTGGGGAATCTATAACCTCGACTGATGTTTAGGCCAAAAAAAGTTGATTACTTGATTCTCAGGCCCGCATTTTAGGGCACCGCATTGCCGATTTTATCGTGAAAGTAATACAAAAAAAATTGTGATTGCGCCAGCCGCTGTCTTTAAAAAAATCCGGAAAATTGGTCCGCATGTCGTTTTTACTCGTTAGTCACCCAAGTCCTGAAAATGTTTGAATATGATAAGGAAATTGATATACAGGCAAGCGTTAAAACGATTATGACTTATTAGTATTGTGTACAAATGGCGCTCATTTCGGTACAAATAAGGGATTTTGGGGGGGTTCGTGATTCTCGTCTGGAACATCTAGATCTAGGGGGGGGTTTCGAAGGCTTGCTCTATGACGGATCTCTACACAACTATAAAAAGACAAGGTAATGCCCACAATGAACGTTTTACAAACTACACAATAAAAAAAAATCTCCCTCGTCTCATTTTTGCCATGTAAAATGAAAAAAAAAAAATAACTCCCTGCTGCATTTCTTTTGAAAAAAATTGGCCTGAGAACCAAGTAATTAATTTTATTTGGCCTCACGAGATGAATTTTTTTTTTAATCACTACCCATTATGTAATTTATCTTTCCTTTGAATTTTTTTTTCAATTCTATTGTTTTATTTATCTTGGCTACTGATTAACACGAAGGCCAGGGGGTTTCATTATATTGGCTGGTGAAATTAGATTTTATTTATTCAATTGCACACAAACAATTGTCTAGACTTGTGAAAAAAATACCAAGTAGCAATCAATTTAACACAGAGCCTTTGACATCAGTTTCTAGTTCAGCAGTAATGAAGCACTCCTATAAATAGGTTTATTTTCAGGAATTCACCATTGCATATAAATAATACACTTACAGTATAAGCAAGCATGTAATAACTAATACAATCATACGGTCCGATATATCCCAGACAGGAATACAATCCTACGGGCCGATATATCCCAGACAGGAACAGTCACCTTGACTAATACAATCCTACGGGCCGATATATACCAGACAGGAACAGTCACCTTGACTTATACAATCCTACGGGCCGATATATCCCAGACAGGAACAGTCACCTTGACTTATACAATCCTACGGGCTGATATATATCCCAGACAGGAACAGTCACCTTGACTAATACAATCCTACGGGACGATATATCCCAGACAGGAACAGTCACCTTGATTAATACAATCCTACGGGCCGATATATCCCAGACAAGAATACAATCCTACGGGCCGATATATCCCACACAGGAACAGTCACCTTGACAAATACAATCCTACGGGCCGATATATACCAGACAGGAACAGTCACCTTGACTTGTACAATCCTACGGGCCGATATATCCCAGACAAGAATACAATCCTACGGGCCGATATATCCCACACAGGAACAGTCACCTTGACAAATACAATCCTACGGGCCGATATATCCCAGACAGGAATACAATCCTACGGGCCGATATATCCCACACAGGAACAGTCACCTTGACTAATACAATTATACGGGCCGATATATCCCACACAGGAACAGTCACCTTGACTAATACAACCCTACGGGCCGATATATACCAGACAGGGATACAATCCTACGGGCCCATATATCCCACACAGGAGCAGTCACCTTGACTAATACAATACTACGGGCCGATATATCACAGACAGGAATACAATCCTACGGGCCGATATATCCCACACAGGAACAGTCACCTTGACATTTATGATAAACATTCAAGCCCCGTGTATGGCTTTGTATATAGGACCCAAAGGGGACGATCATGTTTTTTTTCCATTTCATGTACACAGTCCTTGACCCTTACCACTTGTGACCTATCAATGTATACGTATTTCCTTTTCCTGAACACAACCCTTGACCCTTACCACTTGTGACATATGAATGTATTTCCTTTTCCTGAACACAACCCATGACCCTTACCACTTGTGACCTTGACATAGTTTCTCATCACCATTGGCCTGGTACTCCTCATTTTTCTTGTTAATGCTGTAGTTCGTGAGATGCATGAATTTGTTGTTGAGATTCTTCATGGACGATGAATACCTAACAAGTAAATATGAATTATATTTGTCATTAAACAATACAGATGTAGACAATGTGAAAATTAAAAGTTTAATTTGAGTTGATAAATAGTTTTGATAACAGACATGTCAGTGGGAACGTTACCTTTATGGCCACTACTTCCTAAATAAACGACCTAGCTCTGTCAGCGCACCTTCTTCAGTGTTAGTTTAAACAATTTCATTACATAAATATTTACAAAATTATTGAACGCCAACATATCTAGTCCCTTCCTTTAACAAGATAATATATATTTACAATCGGGCTACAGTCTAACTAGTCTTTAATTTACACACTTTTTTAACTGTCATTAGAACATAAGGTAACCAGGAATATATGTCAAAATTATCTTTTCAGATAATAATACTATAATCTAATGACGTCTGCATGACATTTTGTACAAAGAATTATTTCCTTGATTAGTTTAAACCATATTTTATTCATGTCAATTAATATGTACAATTACAATTTCCATAATTAAGGCTGGTTTAATTGTCAGAAGAGAAACAAGCACACACAGACTGTGAGCAGTATTACACTAAAGTTTCAATCAACATCTGACAAAATCCTTTCCTGGCATTGAACCAACATTACGAAATATAATAACCTGGTAAACAAACCCTGACAGACGACTGCAATGACTTATAACTACGACACTTACTTGCATGAGGCAAATCTGGCGAGTCCGTCCTCAAACACGTACACCCTCAGTGGGTCGTAGCTGCTGACGTACACGTAGATTCTCATATCAAACTTACTGTCGTTGATCAGGTACGGCCGACCCAGGTATCTGTCACAAGCAAGTTATTCCATTACATCAGTGATCCCAGAAACCACAAATGAGGGTTTTCACCCCCAAAACAGTTGGTTGTACCCTTCGTTTTCAACAATTGCTCTATATAACTAAGTACCTAGGGTTATAGAATCTTAAAAAAGTACTAAATATACTCCAAAACCTAAACTTCAGTGGGACCTGAGTTAATATCACTACTGTTTAAAGAGTCAATGTTTTGGAGACAATTTTCTACCCCCCTAACTTGAATAGAAGGTATGGTTGACACCGATATCCCTCCATGCTTGAACATATTAAGACAACACTTCCACCCCCTTATCCTGAACAGAACCATTCTAAACCTTAACCTGAACAGAACCATTCTAAACCTTAACCTGAACAGAACCATTCTAAACCTCAACCTGAACAGAACCGTTCTAAACCTTAACCTGAACAGAACCGTTCTAAACCTTAACCTGAACAGAACCGTTCTAAACCTCAACCTGAACAGAACCAATCTAAACCTCAACCTGAACAGAACCGTTCTAAACCTTAACCTGAACAGAACCGTTCTAAACCTTAACCTGAACAGAACCGTTCTAAACCTTAACCTGAACAGAACCATTCTAAACCTTAACCTGAACAGAACCATTCTAAATGAGCTGATAGCTTCTACACTGACTTACTATTTATAGTTTTCGTAACAAAACTCAAACATCTGGGTAACTCCAACATTTCCCGATAATAGTGAATTTCAGTTACACGGAGGAAAACTGTAATATCAGTTCAAAGGTTAGGTTCATTCTGCAAACATACATCTAACAAGTGAATGTAACAGTATATGATCTGTATTGACTAAAACATTCTAGACAGTTGGTAATTGATGGTATCATAACACCAGCTTTGTTTATCCAGCCCCTATTGATGGTATCATAACACAAGCTTTGTTTATCCAGCCCCTATTGATGGTATCATAACACAAGCTTTGTTTATCCAGCCCCTATTGATGGTATCATACCACAAGCTTTGTTTATCCAGCCCCTATTAATGGTATCATAACACAAGCTTTGTTTATCCAGCCCCTATTGATGGTATCATAACACAAGCTTTGTTTATCCAGCCCCTATTGATCTGGTTGTCACTTTTTTGGCAAATGCTTCTTTAAGACATTTTTTCTGTAATAATATACCCTGCCGATTTAGTCATTATACAACCCCTTGAGTTTAGAAGGAAGACTGCTCTCATGTAGCTTGATACAATATACAATTATTGACCCTTCATGAGGTTTATACAAGGAATACCAATGCCAAAGAAACAATATAATGACCAGAGCTAACGTGCCATGTATACCATTGTATTGTGTATACCTACCTCTGTACGATGACTGCCCGTTTACGGGGTATCTGGTTCCACTTGCTGATAACCTTTATCCCAATGCCCCGGGCAGACGCCGGAGGTTTGATAATCCACTTCTGTTTGTTTCCGCCATCTTCCCACGCACGTTTCAATAACTTATTGTCATAAGGGAGAACAAATGTCTGAGGGAAAAATCCAAATTCTTTCTTTCCACTATGCAACTGCATTTTGGACAGATTTCTCCAAAGACGATCCTTTCTACCTATTTGAAACGAACCTGGGAAATGATTCAACTGCAACAGGAAAACATACACAGATCAGCAACAGATAAGTTGGGTCCCTGTTATAGCTCTGAAACTATGTTATAGGTCAGACACTGATGGAAAGATTCAAGTTTAAAACAAAACAATACACACTCTTTTTTTCTACAATGGATTTGGATTTTTAAAACAAACACACATATGTGTTATTGATTAAATAGTTCTTAAAGAGAAAAAGATAATTTTTGACCTTGGAATAAGTAATATATATCCTGGACCTTGACAATAATGTAGCCTTAACCTTGTACTTACCTTCTGATATTCTCGTATTGCTTTGAAGCCCTGAGATTTCATGTGTTTACCCCAACACCCCAACCAGTCATGATTCCCTGCAATGACAGAAAAAATTAAAATACAACTACTGTTCATTGACTCATTCAGCCCTGAAGACGCATTTGTACTCTTCCAATTCAAAGTTTGGAATAGTTTATCATGAAATTTCAGGGATGATTCACTTAATTTATTGTTTAAAGGGAAGGTCACCTGCAATGCAAATTAATGAATAGAATAAAACTACAATGTAGAACACTAAAAGGTCTACAAGGACTCCTCAATGTGCCTAACTGTAGAACACTAAAAGGTCTGCAAGGAATCCTCAATGTGCCTAACTGTAGAACACTAAAAGGTCTGCAAGGACTCCTCAATGTGCCTAACTGTAGAACACTAAAAGGTCTGCAAGGACTCCTCAATGTGCCTAACTGTAGAACACTAAAAGGTCTGCAAGGACTCCTCAATGTGCCTAACTGTAGAACACTAAAAGGTCTGCAAGGACTCCTCAATGTGCCTAACTGTAGAACACTAAAAGGTCTGCAAGGACTCCTCAATGTGCCTAACTGTAGAACACTAAAAGGTCTGCAAGGACTCCTCAATGTGCCTAACTGTAGAACACTAAAAGGTCTGCAAGGACTCCTCAATGTGCCTAACTGTAGAACACTAAAAGGTCTGCAAGGACTCCTCAATGTGCCTAACTGTAGAACACTAAAAGGTCTGCAAGGACTCCTCAATGTGCCTAACTGTAGAACACTAAAAGGTCTGCAAGGACTCCTCAATGTGCCTAACTGTAGAACACTAAAAGGTCTGCAAGGACTCCTCAATGTGCCTAACTGTAGAACACTAAAAGGTCTGCAAGGACTCCTCAATGTGCCTAACTGTAGAACACTAAAAGGTCTGCAAGGACTCCTCAATGTGCCTAACTGTAGAACACTAAAAGGTCTGCAAGGACTCCTCAATGTGCCTTACTGTAGAACACTAAAAGGTCTGCAAGGAATCCTCAATGTGCCTAACTGTAGAACACTAAAAGGTCTGCAAGGACTCTTCAATGTGCCTTACTGTACCTCCCATGGTCCATTTTTAGAAATAGTGACCTTGACCTTAGACATTTTTAAATCCCTATTGTACATCTACAAATTAGTGTATCACCACTTATATTTCAAAAAATGCAGTCTTTTGGATTATGAGATAAACTCTAGAAACGATTGTGTGTACGGACAGATGGACGGACACTGTAAGATTTACTATAAGGCATCCCCATCTCTGATGTGGGGCCCTAACAACTGTAATTCAAAAGCATTGGATAAGGAAATTGTGTTCTGGTTCGTACTCTAAGTTGGTTTTTAAAGTTCCATACAATGTTTCATCCTTGTTACTGATGGAAGGTTCCAAAAGTACTGCTACCTCGGAGGGTTTTGTACTGAGTGAAGGTTCCAAGAGTATTGCTACCTCGGAGGGTTTTGTACTGACGGAAGGTTCCACGAATACTGCTACCTCGGAGGTTTTTGTACTGACGGAAGGTTCCACGAACACTGCTACCTTGGAGGGTTTTGTACTGACAGAAGGTTCCAAGAGTACTGCTACCTCGGAGGGTTTTGTACTGACGGAAGGTTCCAAGAGTACTGCTACCTCGGAGGGTTAGGTACTGACAGAAGGTTCCAAGAGTACTGCTACCTCGGAGGGTTTTGTACTGAAGGAAGGTTCCAAGAGTACTGCTACCTCGGAGGGTTAGGTCCTGACAGAAGGTTCCAAGAGTACTGCTACCTCGGAGGGGTTTGTACTGACAGAAGGTTCCACGAATACTGCTACCTCGGAGGGTTTTGTACTGAGTGAAGGTTCCAAGAGTATTGCTACCTCGGAGGGTTTTGTACTGACGGAAGGTTCCAAGAGTACTGCTACCACGGAGGGTTAGGTACTGACAGAAGGTTCCAAGAGTACTGCTCCCTCGGAGGGTTAGGTACTGACAGAAGGTTCCAAGAGTACTGCTCCCTCGGAGGGTTAGGTACTGACAGAAGGTTCCAAGAGTACTGCTCCCTCGGAGGGTTAGGTACTGACAGAAGGTTCCAAGAGTACTGCTACCTCGGAGGGTTTTGTACTGCCAGAAGGTTCCAAGAGTACTGCTACCTCGGAGGGGTTTGTACTGACAGAAGGTTCCACGAATACTGCTACCTCGGAGGGTTTTGTACTGAGTGAAGGTTCCAAGAGTATTGCTACCTCGGAGGGTTTTGTACTGACAGAAGGTTCCAAGAGTACTGCTCCCTCGGAGGGTTTTGTACTGACGGAAGGTTCCAAGAGTTATGCTACCTCGGAGGGTTTTGTACTGACAGAAGGTTCCAAGAATTATGCTACCTCAGAGGGTTTTGTACTGACGGAAGGTTCCACGAGTACTGCTACCTCGGAGGGTTTTGTACTGACAGAAGGTTCCAAGAGTACAAGAATTTCGGAGTATGTTGAGGTACTGTCGAAGAATCTAAGGTACTAGTACTTTGGAGTATGTTGATGTACTTAGAGAAGAACTGACGTAGAAAGAAAGGGAATTTAATCAACGATGTTTGTCTGGTTTGACTCCATCATCAACTCTCCACTACTGTTTCAATTTCAAACGACCATTTTATTTACGGATAATCCTGTTTTCAGGTCGTAGTCACAAAAGTTATCCACAATTACAGTCAACGTGTCGTGTCAGTTGTAATAAAGGGCTGCAGACTTCTTCCCCCTGGTAGTAAATTAGTATTGACTGGTGATACGTGACTTTGGCCTGGGCCAGAGTAATATGGTGGTGTGTACCTATGACTGTATTGGATGTTTGCTTAGCAATGAAGGAAACTGTAACTCCTTCGGTCCAGATTTTTCTATTATCTGCCTAAAAGCAACTTGAATGTCTTTTGAGAGTTAGTATTTTTAGGTAGATATGGCACAGGCAACAGAAATCAAATAAATGTACAAATATTTTTTCGAATTAATTACTTCTTTGCCATTATCAATATAACCACAATAAAACCACTCCAATATATATGTTTAAAACAATACATTACGACCACTCTTCTACCTCCCTACCATCACAACCACTCAAATATTCTTTTTACCAGGACAGTGACAATAAAACCGCTATGTCTAAAATCTAACAACCCAACAACCACAACTCCTTTACATTTTTACAAAAAAAGAATCTTTTCTTCACCAGCAAAACCACCCAATCCTATTACGAACATAACCATCATGGCCCACCCAATCCTATTAGGAACATAACCATTATGGCCCACCCAATCCTACTAAGAACATAACCATCATGGCCCACCCAATCCTACTAAGAACATAACCATCATGGCCCACCCAATGCACAAACTGAAATGACCACTTCAACAGCTTTATCATTATCTTCCATAAGATTCATCAGTTTATGTAATATCAAAGTGTTACTTTCTACACAAACAATGTATTAAACGCTTCAAGACCGACTGGTCCCTTTGTCAAGCTATGACTGAGTGAGCCCGACTGGTCCCTTTGTCAAGTTATGACTGAGTGAGACCGGCTGGTCCCTTTGTCAAGCTATGACTGAGTGATACCGACTGGTCCCTTTGTCAAGCTATGACTGAGTGAGCCCGACTGGTCCCTTTGTCAAGTTATGACTGAGTGAGCCCGACTGGTCCCTTTGTCAAGTTATGACTGAGTGAGACCGACTTGTCCCTTTGTCAAGCTATGACTGAGTGAGACCGACTGTTCCCTTTGTCAAGCTATGACTGAGTGAGACCGACTGTTCCCTTTGTCAAGCTATGACTGAGTGAGACCGACTGGGCCCTTTGTCAAGCTATGTCTGAGTGAGACCGACTGGTCCCTTTGTCAAGTTATGACTGAGTGAGACCGACTTGTCCCTTTGTCAAGCTATGACTGAGTGAGACCGACGGGTCCCTTTGTCAAGCTATGACTGAGTGAGACCAACTGGTCCCTTTGTCAAGCTATGACTGAGTGAGCCCGACTGGTCCCTTTGTCAAGTTATGACTGAGTGAGGCCGACTGGTCCCTTTGTCAAGCTATGACTGAGTGAGACTGACTGGTCCCTTTGTCAAGTTATGACTGAGTGAGCCCGACTGGTCCCTTTGTCAAGTTATGACTGAGTGAGACCGGCTGGTCCCTTTGTCAAGCTATGACTGAGTGATACCGACTGGTCCCTTTGTCAAGCTATGACTGAGTGAGCCCGACTGGTCCCTTTGTCAAGTTATGACTGAGTGAGGCCGACTGGTCCCTTTGTCAAGCTATGACTGAGTGCGACCGACTGGTCCCTTTGTCAAGTTATGACTGAGTGAGGCCGACTGGTCCCTTTGTCAAGCTATGACTGAGTGCGACCGACTGGTCCCTTTGTCAAGTTATGACTGAGTGAGACCGGCTGGTCCCTTTGTCAAGCTATGACTGAGTGATACCGACTGGTCCCTTTGTCAAGCTATGACTGAGAGAGACCGACTGGTCCCTTTGTCAAGCTATGACTGAGTGCGACCGACTGGTCCCTTTGTCAAGTTATGACTGAGTGAGCCCGACTGGTCCCTTTGTCAAGCTATGACTGAGTGCGACCGACTGGTCCCTTTGTCAAGTTATGACTGAGTGAGCCCGACTGGTCCCTTTGTCAAGTTATGACTGAGTGAGCCCGACTGGTCCCTTTGTCAAGTTATGACTGAGTGAGACCGACTGGTCCCTTTGTCAAGTTATGACTGAGTGAGCGATCTGTATTTTTTACCTGTATAACAATGAGATGAAATTGTATATTTTTTATGTCACTCGACCCGGGACGTTTCCCCTATCGATCAGTGTATACACACTGCATCAAATAGGTTACAGGTAGGATGTAGATCTAGCCCCCTTCCCCTGCTATGTCAGTATCGGGTCATACAGATGACGGCTTTATCATTATGCTAACAAATCAACAAACTTACTTTTGGTAATGCGGAAGCCTACACGAGCAAGCGTGTGTTTGACGATGTTTGGGGTAATGGGACTCATTCTCCACTTGAGGAACTTTCTGTATTCCCATGGCAACTGCTCCACTGTAATACAGAAAAAGTGAACAATGTAACACAACAAACAGGCATATAGGGCCTGGACCATAAAGCACTTGTCACATTTACGCAATACTGTTATGTGGACATTAATTTATTTATTTTTAAATCTGCAAAATTTCTCCACTTTGCATTAATTTGAGCTGTGGTATTTGCATTCTCCACGCATCTGGAATCTTTGAAAAAATATTTTCACTGATGCAGATAACTATGTGTGTGAATACAGACATAGAAATCAGATCAAGACTCTTGTCATAATGTTAGGTCTGTAAAACTATACACCTTACCTTTCTCGCCCTCTATGACAAAGTTGACGGTGGGGGGAATGCGTGGGAAAAGACTTTGGCGTAGTGGAGGATGGAGAACCGTTTCTTTTTCACTTGTTGTGAGCACAGATGCAGACGCCTTGGCAGTACGAGGCCGTGAGTCTTCACCACTTGTGGAGCTGGCGGATCGTGCAGCGGAGCGGCGCGCAGACCTTGCGCGCGACCGAGCCGCAGATGATTGTCGGGAAATACTACTGGTAATGGAGTAGCCATCAGACTCACCTGGGACAAAGACATCCAATGAAACACTCACAAAACAGACACTCGGTTGTTATGGTTACTTCATAACTACTGGATCATAAATTAATCTAGATTTGTGTCCAAATTAAAATCAGTAACATTTTTGTTCCACAACAGTTCTGATTTTGTTTACATGTACATGTAAAGGTTTTAAGCATTGACTTTTCACATGAGTTAAATTGATTACTAATAGAAATGTTCATTTCATCAACATCTGAAATTTTGACTTCAGTTTAAGACTGTTCATGGCCCTTAACCTTGGGCCTGGACATATAGTTCAAGATGCAAATAATATTCTATATTCTCTATGTAGGATTTAATTTTAACCACTGCAGCATATTTCACCTGAATAAAAACTAATTTAAGTCAGAAATCAACAATTAAAATTGCAATGTGTTTTCAATGGACAAATCTAAGAAAACGTTAACTCTGTCTCACCATCAGACCCCCCGGCATAGTCATCCTCTAAACAGTCGATCCCGTCATCGTCGTCATCGCCGAACTCCTCCAGACTGGCCTCACCATCTCCTGGAAGACGTTCCCTGTAATGACAGAAAACAAATATTCATAAGAAAAAAATAAAGCAGACAAAAAAGTACTCAAGTTTGTAAAATAACAGACTAAAATGCTGCAATGATGTGAAGCCATTAAAAGTATGTGATTAAATATAAAATAAAAACCACCATGATAAGAAGTTTTTCTCTCACAACAAATATGACATTCCCATGCAAATGTTCAAATTGCTGGTAATACAGTAGGTCATACAGACTAAATGTGGTACGTATGGTAATATATTTAGTCTCAACTGAAAGACTGCTGTATATCGGTAATATATTAAGTCTTATGTAATGGCAATAATTGTTTATTCTTAGTCTGCAACTGCAAAACATGTGTATACAGTTACAATATGTCTGACTTTGCCTAAATTCATGAAATTGCTTGATTCTGCATGAGTTAATTTTGATTCAATTGAATATTTTGATGCTCTGACTATTTACAAAGCTGAAGTTTCGCTGTTCCAACACCTTGTTGTTGAATCATAGGTGACTGTTATAATATAAACAGAGCAAGCAACTACATCAGCCTCACAGAGTACATCTGTCAACAAATAACGAGTCGTCTATAATCTATACATCTGGGAATAACGTAATCCCCCGACGACCCAGTTCACAGGGCTAATCAGGGCGATTACGGTAAGATTCCAATTATCTATAACAATAAGGAGCTGATAGCCGCCTATTTAGTATAGAGTAGGGACATTAATCAGAACCCTCCAGGTCCCTGGTGTCTACATACCACGATCAAACCTCAGTCAGTATCCCATGTGGGTTATAGATAATTATCTACATTTATAGGCTTGTTTTAAACTATAGTCTGTAATTGCATACAGGAAACAGACTGGCTTTAATATTGATTTGTCTTTGAGAATCACTGCTTAGTATAGGGACCAATGTGACCGAACCATTTCGCCTCCATCTGCTATATCTTGGCGACTTCAAGAATCTTGATCCAATACCAGGAGTCTATAGGGAAACAGTGCTAATGGTTCTGTTAAGACTTCTTGTCCTGACCTAATATCGGAGGCTCTCTTTTTCACTTTGATTTGCATAAGTGAATCCAGCAATCAAACGCTTTGATAAAATTTGGCCAAATAAAAATTAATGTATGTTCCAATTATGGCGATGAAGTCAACCTTATTAAAGACAGATTGATATGCTGCTTTTTTCAACAGTATTTATTATTTGAAAGATTTTTAGTGTTATGAATATTTTCGAGTATCAAAGTGGTTTTGAATGTTCCATAAATACCACAGCACCAGTGACACCATTATGAAACAAAAGTAATTTTTGACTGAAGCTAGGCAAGGTAAATCCTGAGATCCCTTCATTTGAATGTAGATCTGACCGATAGAACCACACAAAGGCAATAGAGTTAATCTTTTCACCCCTATATAACTTTAGCAGACTCAACCATGCATTGATCTGGATGAGTCCATCATGGTCTATAGTGGAGAAAGGGTTAATTAGAGTTTACACTTTGTGGCATTGCAGCTTGACATGACAAAAAAACTAAATGCTAATCCACATATCAGAACGTGACATTACCACAAGGTTTCAAATGGCAAAACAAAGGTCACTTTCTAACATAAATGGATCAGAGGTATTCAGGTGAGAGCATGCTTAACAGAACAAAACAGACCAGATATATTCAGGTGAGAGCATGCTTAACAGAACAAAACAGATCAGAGGTATTCAGGTGAGAGCCTGTGCTTAACAGAACAAAACCGATCAGATGTATTCAGGTGAGAGCATGTGCTTCACAGAACAAAACAGATCAGATGTATTCAGGTTAGAGCATGTGCTTAACAGAACAAAACAGGCCAGATGTATTCAGGTGAGAGCATGCTTAACAGTACAAAACAGATCAGATGTATTCAGGGGAGAGCATGTGCTTAACAGAACAAAACCGAGCAGAGGTATTCAGGTGAGAGCCTGTGCTTAACAGAACAAAACAGACCAGATATATTCAGGCGAGAGCATGCTTAACAGAACACAACAGACCAGATATATTCAGGTGAGAGCATGCTAAACAGAACAAAAAAGATCAGAGGTATTCAGGGGAGAGCATGTGCTTAACAGAACAAAACCGAGCAGAGGTATTCAGGTGAGAGCATGCTAAACAGAACAAAAAAGATCAGAGGTATTCAGGGGAGAGCATGTGCTTAACAAAACAAAACAGATCAGATGTATTCAGGTGAGAGCATGTGCTTCACAGAACAAAACAGATCAGGGGGATTCAGGTGAGAGCATGTTCTTAACAGAACAAAACAGACCAGATGTATTCAGGTGAGAGCATGCTAAACAGAACAAAAAAGATCAGAGGTATTCAGGGGAGAGCATGTGCTTAACAGAACAAAACAGATCAGAGGTATTCAGGTGAGAGCATGCTTAACAGAAAAAAGGAAGCACTGGAAGAAATCTGCCTACAACCAGAGCCAGATTTTTTTATCTGGTGATGTTGTAATATCAGTCAGAAGAAATCGGCCTACAACCAGAGCCGGATTTTTTTTATCTGGTGATGTTGTAATATCAGTCAGAAAAATCTTGACTGTAAAAAAAAGCCTGAGTCCCCAGGCACTTCTTTAACAAGATGTGGCCTTCGTGATGGAGCTGTGTTCCCAGCCTCAGCGGCCCCGCTTACTGGAGCTGTGTTCCCAGCCTCAGCAGCCCCGCTTACTGGAGCTGTGTTCCCAGCCTCAGCAGCCCCGCTTACTGGAGCTGTGTTCCCAGCCTCAGCGGCCCCGCATCTTAAAGTGTAGGGGACCTAATTACGTTACAAGGATAGGCGTCTGTTTCATCAAAGTTTCTCTACTGCAATAAATCTGTATTGGTTTTTTTCTCCTTTATAAAATAGTGAACATCACCAATATTGTCAGTCTTTTACACAACCAAGTCTGCTGTCTCAGTCAGCATGATTTATACAGTTCAATGTAAGTAGACATCTCCAGTGTTTATAATGACAGGACTTAAAGTCAACGAAACGTTTTACATTTCATCAATATATACAGCTACAACATCATAACAAGGAAAAATACACACGAAGAAGTCGAGAAACAACTTTGTAGGACAGATTCATCTGTGTATAAAGGTCTGTTACAGGTAAAGTACCAGGGTAACAGACTGTGGGGTATGTAACAACTTTGTAGGACAGATTGATCTGTGTATAAAGGTCTGTTACAGGTAAAGTACCAGGGTAACAG